GGTCAGATGTTCCAGTCTGTAGTGATTGGTCTGCTCTGATTGGTCAGATGGCCCAGTCTGTTGTGATTGGTCTACTCTGCTCTGATTGGTCAGATGGCCCAGTCTGTTGCGATTGATCTACTCTGCTCTGATTGGTCAGATGTTCCAGTCTGTAGTGATTGTTCTACTCTGCTCTGATTGGTCAGATGGCCCGGTCTGTTGTGATTGGTCTACTCTGCTCTGATTGGTCAGATGGCCCAGTCTGTAGTGATTGATCTACTCTGCTCTGATTGGTCAGATGGTCCAGTCTGTTGTGATTGGTCTACTCTGCTCTAATTGGTCAGATGGCCCAGTCTGTTGTGATTGGTCTACTCTGCTCTGATTGGTCAGATGGCCCAGTCTGTAGTGATTGATCTACTCTGCTCTGATTGGTCAGATGGCCCAGTCTGTTGTGATTGGTCTACTCTGCTCTGATTGGTCAGATGGCCCAGTCTGTGTGATTGGTCTACTCTGCTCTGATTGGTCAGATGACCCAGTCTGTTGTGATTGGTCGACTCTGTTCTGATTGGTCAGATGGCCCAGTCTGTTGTGATTGGCCTACTCTGCTCTGATTGGTCAGATGGCCCAGTCTGTGTGATTGGTCTACTCTGCTCTGATTGGTCAGATGGCCCAGTCTGTGTGATTGGTCTACTCTGCTCTGATTGGTCAGATGACCCAGTCTGTTGTGATTGGTCGACTCTGCTCTGATTGGTCAGATGGCCCAGTCTGTTGTGATTGGCCTACTCTGCTCTGATTGGTCAGATGGCCCAGTCTGTTGTGATTGGCCTACTCTGCTCTGATTGGTCAGATGGCCCAGTCTGTAGTGATTGGTCTACTCTGCTCTGATTGGTCAGATGGCGCAGTCTGTAGTGATTGGTCGACTCTGCTCTGATTGGTCAGATGACCCAGTCTGTTGTGATTGGTCTACTCTGCTCTGGTTGGTCAGATGGCCCAGTCTGTTGTGATTGGCCTACTCTGCTCTGATTGGTCAGATGGCCCAGTCTGTTGTGATTGGCCTATAGGCTTGCCGCGATAGACGGTGTTGACGGTGTTACCGGTTTTAAGCCCCATCACCGGTGACATCACTTTCCCACCGTGACACCGCGATGTCTTGACTTTTTTTTTTTAAAGTATTCGTTTTTGCTAAAATATTTATTTGAATTGATTAAAAATAATAATTTTCAATTATTTAGTTCTGAAGAGAGCATTATAATTAAAAATGAACTGCGCAACGCGTGCCGTCACGTCACAGATCAACAAGCATCAGGATTCCATTTAGCACGTGTGGAGACGAGAACGAGTCAAATTACAGAAAAGCAAGATAATGGCGGAAGATTTGGTGTCAAAACGCAATGCAAAAGCGCCTGTTTGGCAATATTTTGGCCAATATATATTAATGTTAATAAATGCCAATTTATAGTGTTTTACTTTTTTTTAGAGTGCTGTCATTTATGTAGGCTAAGGTCCTTTTTAAAGTTTTTATTTTATATTCGTCTCTTTTTATTTGGTTTTATCTTATTTAAACTTTGTTTAATTTATTTAGGCCTATTTTGTTTTCTTATTCGTTAATAAACGTTTTATTTTTTTTGGGCCCACAGTTTGCCGATTTTCACTTTTTTCAGCCTATGCATGGGGTTATTTTTATTCGTTCGTTATGCTAATAAAAGTTCTGTCTATATTTTATTCGTTTATTATTCTAATAAAAGTGCTGTCTAAATAAAAGTTTATTGTCAGCGAGTTGTTTTTTTTTTTTTTTTTTTTGGTCCATTCCAGCAATTGACGCTGAATTGCAATTGACGCTTATTTCGAAAGTGAAAGTATGTCATTTATGTAGGCTAAGGTCCGTTTTGAAGTTTTTATTTTATATTCGTCTCTTTTTAATTGGTTTTATCTCATTTAAACTTTGTGTAATTTATTTAGGCCTATTTTATTTTCTTATTCGTTAATAAACGTTTTATGGTTCTTATTTGTTTGGGCCCACATTTTGCCGATTTTCACTTTTTTCAGCCTATGCATAGGGTTATTTTTATTTGTTCGTTATGCTAATAAAAGTCTATAAATAAAAGTTTTATTATCAGCGAGTTGTTTTTTTTTGTCCATTCAAGCAATTGACGCTTATTTCGAAAGTGAAAGTATAACGCGCACGCATTTAAAAGCTATTTAACCCCCCCTCCACGGTGACACCGGGATTACCGGTGTTGTCACACGTCGATTAACCGGTGGGAAATTTTCCTCACCGCGGCAACCCTATTGGCCTACTCTGCTCTGATTGGTCAGATGGCCCAGTCTGTAGTGATTGGTCTACTCTGCTCTGATTGGTCAGATGGCGCAGTCTGTAGTGATTGGTCGACTCTGCTCTGATTGGTCAGATGGCCCAGTCTGTTGTGATTGGTCTACTCTGCTCTGGTTGGTCAGATGGCCCAGTCTGCTGTGATTGGTCGACTCTGCTCTGGTTGGTCAGATGGCCCAGTCTGTTGTGATTGGTCAACTCTGCTCTGGTTGGTCAGATGGCCCAGTCTGTTGTGATTGGCCTACTCTGCTCTGATTGGTCAGATGGCCCAGTCTGTAGTGATTGGTCTACTCTGCTCTGATTGGTCAGATGGCGCAGTCTGTAGTGATTGGTCGACTCTGCTCTGATTGGTCAGATGGCCCAGTCTGTTGTGATTGGTCTACTCTGCTCTGGTTGGTCAGATGGCCCAGTCTGCTGTGATTGGTCGACTCTGCTCTGGTTGGTCAGATGGCCCAGTCTGTTGTGATTGGTCAACTCTGCTCTGGTTGGTCAGATGGCCCAGTCTGTAGTGATTGGTCGACTCTGCTCTGATTGGTCAGATGGCCCAGTCTGTAGTGATTGGTCTACTCTGCTCTGATTGGTCAGATGGCCCAGTCTGTTGTGATTGGTCTACTCTGCTCTGATTGGTCAGATGGCGCAGTCTGTAGTGATTGGTCTACTCTGCTCTGATTGGTCAGATGGCCCAGTCTGTTGTGATTGGTCTACTCTGATTGGTCAGACGGCCCAGTTGTGATCGGTCTACTCTGCTCTGATTGGTCAGATGGCCCAGTCTGTTGTGATTGGCCTACTCTGCTCTGATTGGTCAGATGGCCCAGTCTGTAGTGATTGGTCTACTCTGCTCTGATTGGTCAGATGGCGCAGTCTGTAGTGATTGGTCGACTCTGCTCTGATTGGTCAGATGGCCCAGTCTGTTGTGATTGGTCTACTCTGCTCTGGTTGGTCAGATGGCCCAGTCTGCTGTGATTGGTCGACTCTGCTCTGGTTGGTCAGATGGCCCAGTCTGTTGTGATTGGTCGACTCTGCTCTGGTTGGTCAGATGGCCCAGTCTGTAGTGATTGGTCGACTCTGCTCTGATTGGTCAGATGGCCCAGTCTGTAGTGATTGGTCTACTCTGCTCTGATTGGTCAGATGGCCCAGTCTGTTGTGATTGGTCTACTCTGCTCTGATTGGTCAGATGGCGCAGTCTGTAGTGATTGGTCGACTCTGCTCTGATTGGTCAGATGGCCCAGTCTGTTGTGATTGGTCTACTCTGATTGGTCAGACGGCCCAGTTGTGATCGGTCTACTCTACTCTGATTGGTCAGACGACCCAGCCTGTTGTGATTGGTCTAATTGCTTCTTTCTTTTGGGAGACAAAAACTCTGAAACTTTGCATAGCATTTACATTCACAAACAGCTACACTACATGAACAGTAATATCCGATCAAGCATAATGGCGGCACTTTAAACTTTGGTGATAACAAAAAATGGCCAGACATTGATGTTACTCTCCTCCATACTGCAGTTCATCTACATGTGCATGTGATTCATCCTTTCCAGATTAGTTTAAGATTAACCTGAGCAACTCCAGGGTAACTCCTCAGTATCTGATTACAGAAGCAGAAGCAGTGTGCACCGCTACAGCCTCTCATGCATTAATGCACAGACAGCAGGCTTCAAAGTTAAATGTATTCATCCATACTTGTTCAAAGCAAATCACACAGTGCAGTAACCGTGGGTGGAATTATAACCTCCCGGCCATCCGGGTTTAAGTGCCTTATATTCAACTGAGGTGATACAGCAAGATTTCCATCACTGCAATTTTACAGTCTATGGGTCATTATTAGCAGGTTTGTCTTCACTGCCTTGAAGTAATATTCTGGTTCATTTAAAACTTAAGCCTAATAATGCAGCTGATTACCACAGAAAATGATTTGTCACTTGAAAACAAGCGTGTTCACAGTTACTGCACTTACAGTGGAGGTTGGCTGTGATGAAAATAAACATTTCATATATAGATAACACTTTACAATAAGTGTTTGTTAATCTTAGCTATTGTTAATTCCAACATTTAACAATAGATACTTGAAATCAAAAGTTATTTTATGCTATTTAATGGACCTGAGCTGATATAAACTTACAATGAACGTTATTGTTTATTAACGTTAATAAAGATTGATAACTATTGAAACAAAAGTATTGCATATTGTTAAAGTTAGCAATAAAAAAAATGCATTTATTAACATTAAATAATGGGACCGAAGAGTGACCTATATATCTAGAGGTATAAAAGCACATCACACAGGTGAAATATGGTAGTAATTTGTAGGAAAAATGTTATGCACGATATTCGAAATACGATGTGAAGAGCTCCATTAACAAAGTCAATATCTTTACATTTGTGATGTTAAACAATTTGGGCTGCTTCAGGCTTTTTACTGTAAATGCAATTCCCGCTTTGTTATAATTTTATGTAGTAGTACACAGAAACTAACAAGCCGTACACAGAAATTAAGCCGTAAGTAACTCAGAATATCCCTTTAAGTGTTATAACCACTCTCTGTACTTGACAGTGAACAGCATTCATGAATAAAAAGCTGCACAAAAGCCACACTACAACATAAATATGCTTTTAAAGGCATTCCTCTTATAAAAAAACTTCTTGTCCTCCATTATCCAATTCAATAACAGTGCACAGGAATCTAATATTGTACCTCTTTGGCTCTCTCGAGCTCGTTCTGCATGGCCTGTCTGGAGATCTCCACCTCGATGATCTTCTGCCTGAGCAGCTCGTTTTCATCTTCCGCTCGCGTACGCTTGTCTTCCACCGTCTCCAGTTCATTGTGCAGACGCACAGATACATCTTTGGCCACCTGTGGGCAGAGACACATGTTTTATTATCTGCACAACATAAGTTAGAGAGCTCAATACTTATCTTACACAAATCATCAAATTAAAGGGATAGTTCACTTTGAAATTAATGTTTGGTATGTTTTAGCTTACCTCAAGGGCATCCAAGATGTAGGTGTCTTTGTTTCCGCAGTATTTTCAATTTTGATATTTTTAGGTCAAACCGTTCTTGTCTGTCAGTCATATAATGGAGGTCTATGGTCACCACCTCAAAGAGCATGCACAGAAAAGTCCAAATTAAACATGATTTAATTACTCGTAAATGTAAGTCCACATTGATGGCCTAAGACACGAAACGAGCGGTTTGTGTGAGAAAACGAACAGTATTTATATCGTTTTTACCTCTTGTAATCACAGCCACGTCCAAGTGTGCAAGCGCCGGAAGTGATCTCTTGCGCGGTTGCGGAAAAAATTCAGCGTTGTCTGTTATTATATCGAAATCGTCTTCCATTGCGATTTCCTGTATATCTAAATATGTTTAGATCTTCATAGTGAAAGGTAACACTCCTGAAATCTCTGTGTAAACAATGAGTGACGTACATGCGCTAGATCACTTCCGTGGGTTTCCACCGCTTGTACAGATCTCTTGGATGTGGCTGTGTTTTTAAAGTTAAAAACGATATAAATACTGTTCGTTTTCTCACACAAACCGCTCGTTTCGTGTCTTAGGCCATCAATGTGTACTTACATTTACAAGTCATTAAATCATGTTTAATTTGGACTTCTCTGTGCATGCTCTTTGAGGTGGTGACCATAGACCTCCATTATATGATTGACAGACAAGAACAGTTGGACCTAAAAATATCAAAATTGAAACTACTGCGGAAACAAAGAGACATACATCTTGGATGCCCTTGATGTAAGCTAAAACATACTAAAAATTAATTTAAAAGTGAACTATCCCTTTAAAACTATTTTTTTTTCACATTCAAAATGTTTCCATTCTCTGTGACAAAAACACCTTCAGGTCCTGCTCCATTCCACGTAGAAGCTCTCCGTCGACGTGTCCGGTCTGTGCAACCCGCAGACTCTTCTGTTCGGCCTTGCGAAGGCGGTACTGGAGGATCCGGCAGTTCTTGTTGGAGCGGTCCAGTTCCCTGCGTATATCCTGGAGCTGGTACACCTCCTCCTCCAGGTAACTGTCCCTGATCTCCTCCATCTCTGCTCGCAACTCGTCCACTTCATCCTGGAGAAAACACAATCAGGATTAGAAACTGAAAGAGAATGAGAATCTGAATTGGAATCAAAGTTAGAAATCGGAATGTGGGTAAGAAACAGAATCAGGACTGAAATCAGTATAAAATTCTGAATTGTACTCAAAGTCTATCTGATTATGGACTGAATTTGCACTGAAATTATTTTCTAATCAGGATAAGAGTCAGAATGAAAATCAGGATAAATAGCAGAGTGAGAATCGAGATTAGAACCCAAAAGAGAATCCAAATTGGAATCAGAACTTTGAATGAAAATCGGAATGTGGATTAGAATTAGGATCAGGATTGAATCAGTATAAAATTCGGATTTATCCTTATTCAGAGTCTAATCAAATTATATCTGATTATGGACCGAAATTATTTTCTCCAGGATTAAAATCAGAATGTATCAGAATGAATAGCAGAATCAATAAATAAACAAGATGGAACAGAAGACATGAATATATTATAAATTGGAATAACAATCAAAATTAGAAACAGATTAAGAATTATTTATGATCAGGATTAGAATCAGAATAATAATAATCAGAATGAACATCAGAATTAGAAACAGAAACACGATCAGAATTGGAATCAAAAATAGAATGAAAATCAGAATCAAATTAGAATGAGAATCAGAATCAGGATTAGAATCAGGTTAAAAACTCTAAATCTTGTGAAATGCACTTTGATTTACAAATAACTTTTTTTAATCTGTAAAATTACTTTTCCTTTCTTCGTGATCCCATATTTCAAACTTTAGTTCATGTGTAATGTTGTTGTTGTTAGAGTATAAATAATATCTGTAAAATTATAAAGCTCAAAGTTCAATGCCAAGCGAGATATTTTATTTAACATTGGTAGCCTACATCGAACGGCCCGTTTGGACTACATCCCTCTACTTCCTTCTTTAATGACGTCAGTAGAACAGTTTTTTGACTAACGTCCGCCCACAGGAACGCTCCCTCAACTCCCTCAAAATAACTTACCGTGTTTACTCAGCTCTTACGGTGATTTTCTGAGGTAAAACTGACGCTTCGCCTTTTGTGTGATGTACAATAAACTTTATTAAACTCATTAGTATATGTTGGACCTGGTCCGAAACAGCAGACTAGTAGGCTATTAATAAATAATGTATACATACAAGCAGATGACAAATAATAACCGTAATTAAACTACTAAACTATACCTGTTCCATCTCTATACAGCACTCTGACTCTGTAGGCATTATTGTCCGACTCGAAATGAACACCGTTACTGAGAGTTTCTGATATTTTCATCATTCCGTGAGATGAAATTGTCCTGAGAGACTGAGCGCGAGCTCATGAAGCTCCGCCCCCTGTTCCGGCAGCAGCAGCAGCTAATTTGCATTTAAAGGGCACACACTCACACAGCGCGTTTTTCTGAGCCCCCAAAAATGACAATTTAAACATGCTCTAAAAAAGGATCGGTTGGGTATTTTGAGCTGAAACTTCACATACACATTCTGGGGACATCAGAGACTTATTTTACATCTTGTGAAAAGGGGCATAATACGGGACATTTAATCCATCCAACCAAACATGCCAAGTGTGAACACATTTTAATTTAATTGTTCTGATTTTGGACACTAGAACAAAGAAAAAGGCACTAAAACAAACAAGACTGGAGGTAAAGAAACTGTAGCCCGTCCTGAACTGAAATAAATGACAGTCATTTGTGACGCCTCATTTCCCAGTAAATACTCCACAATGCCTCAGCGAATTCAGTGTAAACAAAGTCGAAGAAGAAAGACAGCCAGTGACAAACGGTCCAAACACAATGACCTTCACTGTATGCTGGGGACAATGTCATGTGACAGCATGCGCTGTATGGATGTTCCTGTCAAACATGAGTTATGGCGGACTAAATGATTAATGTCTCACAATAGTACCAACATGGAGCTGCATGTAACACATGCTTCAGATAGAGATAAACACACAGATGGAGGTGCACATCTGCTTTTGGGAGGCTCTGAACACACGGGCCGGCTCAGGGTCAGGAGGGACGTGTGTGTGTGCGTGTGTGTGAGCGGATCCTGCGGGGACGCAGAATTACACACACAGCTACTAAAGCGGATTAACACGTCGTATTCAGAGATAAACTTATGAAAATCCTGTTTGTGACCGCAGCCGAGCCCTGGCGCATCTGACAAATAAGATCAATCATTTATGGAATTATGCTAATTAGGCCTGCCTTCATCTAGCCATCACACTTCACACAGAGAGCAAAGACTGTGATGCGTTTCCTGCGGGAGGTTAGAGGGTCTTTCTGATGTCTGTTGGATTGCCTCTGTGGACTGATGTGACCTAAAATCAGCCAAAGATTTATGGATATAGATGTTCCTCTGCTCATGTAAGGCCAGTAAGAGCTGTGTGTGTAAACCTCACTCCCCTGGCCTAAAGAGGTGCACTAGCGACTGACGCTGTTAGCGTAGCCCCTTTTCACGGCAGAGACCTCGGTTCGAATCGCACTCGGAGCGGGTCGAGTAGAAGATGTCCACGTCTTTCTTTCTTCAGTCGAAAAGAAATTAAGGTTTTTGATGAAAACATTCCAGGATTTTCTCCATATAATGGACTTCAATGGGGTCCAAAGGGTTCAAGGTCCAAGCGAGAGTTTCAATGCAGCTTCAAAGGGCTTTAAACGACACCAGACGATTAATAAGGGTCTTATCTAGCGAAACGATCGCTCATTTCATTCCCTTTGAAGCTGCACTGAAACTCTCATTTGGACCTTGAACTGTTTGGACCCCATTGACATCCATTATATGGATAAAATACTGGAATGTTTTCGTCAAAAACCTTAATTTGTTTTCGACTGAAGAAAGAAAGACATGGACATCTCGGATGACATGGGGGTGAAAAAATTATCAGCAAAAGTTTTTTTTTTTTTTAAAGTGCACTAATCATGGCTTCCAGTTCGACCTCGTCCATGAGTGTTAACTCAAATGTAAACGCGAAACGGGTATGTCCCTCTTTGGCTAATGTACTTTCACGATGGAGGGGCAACATGGCGAACCCCTTACCCGTATGTATTTTCAATGGCATATTATACACTCACGAGAATACTTTATTACTTGAACGAAGTAAATATACATTAATGAGCACATATGTTTTTGAAAGAACTAAGCGTTTTTAGCTAAGAATAAACTAAAAGAGTTTCACAGTGTAGCTTTAAGCAGTGGGGATGATTTTGTTGTTCTCTCTTTTCTTAAAAAGAGAGAAAAAAGAGGAAATATTGGGTCTATCTAATCCTGAGATAGCGTCGAGAGGAAGGGCAGTAAGAGCTGTGTGTGCAAACCTCACTCCCCTGGCCTAAAGAGGCGCATTAGCGACTGACGCTAGCGGCTACGGTCTTTAGTGTACTTGTTAGCGCATCCGTCTCCCATCCTGGACACCCCGATTCGAATCCCTCTTGTAGTGGGTTGACTCAAATAGGACCAGTTACACACACAGTATCGCCTTATACCGCCACTCATGGTTTTTACATCTATATTAAAACAAATCTTTATTTGAATATAACTTCGAATGTAATTATAATTTGATCAGCACTTTGGTCAGCTTAGCAGTGTGTATGTGCTATATAAATACATTTATTTACTATAATTGTATTTTTTATATCTAACCATAGTACAACGACACTGCCATCTAATATCATCACAATTCTACATTTTGTAACATGATTATGGTACTCCAATTACACTTCAATAATAAAAAGCATCATACTTTCAAGTATTTTACTCTGGCATTAAATGTATGTCAAAAGAATAAACACTAGATGCTTTCAGGGACGAATGATGCAGGTGTCTGATGAGTAGGATGAAATTTAAACATGAGCCAGATTATCAAGAGGGTGATCACGTGAAAAAACAAATCAAGGTGTAAAACTGTCACGTGGATTACAGCAGCAGCTCAACCCATAATCCTTCTTCAGACATTCATCTAAAAATATTCTGTACACTAATTCAATCACTCTGTATCAAAGCTCCGCCACATGATCCATAGCCTACTATACTTTTTGGGTAAGGATTGAAAGCACTAAGCGTTGCAATATCACGCAAACGTAATGTATTAGTTCCTTCTAAGAATACGTAGCCTACATTTGAGAGTGTGGGCTCACCTTGAGGTAGTCATTTTCCGATCGAAGGTCTTCGATTTCCCTCAGCATTTCCTCCGGGGCCATTTCCTTGCCCCCCGTTTTAAATTGTGCGTCTTTCTCCGCTTTGCATTGGTCCCCGTGCGCACCGGGCGCCGGTGAAGCCTGAGATCCTCCCGCTCCGAGCGCGAGCGCGCGCACCCGAACCCCGACCACCTGCTCACTCGAACCGGAACCGGAGCCGGACTCCGCATCGCTACTGGCGGCCTGAACCAGTCTCTGCTCGTCGGACAACGGCTCGGAGGGACAATCGGACAAATCCGAGCTGCTGTCCGTCTGGCAGACGCCGCGTGCGGTGGGAACGCGTATCGGGGCGAGCCTCCCCTTGCTTTTGGGGATCTGCGGAGCGGCGGTATCAACCGTTTTGCACGCCGGTTTCGGTTCGGATGCTGCATGCTGAGTGACCTTAACCGCCTTTTTTGTCGCTGAGGGTTTGCTTTTTGCAGGTGCTGATGCGGGTTTGTCCTTCGCGCCCGGGACGGCGCGTCTCGGGACGCGGCTGTGAGGCGTCACCGGTGTGGAGGACGTTTGCTGCTTGTTGAATTTGGGGGATTTTGGCACGATCGGTTTGGCCGTTCGCGAATGGACATCCTTCAGGACGGGTCTGGCAGGGGACGGCGCGCGGTTTAACCTCTTCTTCTCCACCTGAGGATGAGGATGATGGCTCTGCGGTTTGGTGTCGGAGCCATTAGGGCTCTCCATTATACAACTTGACAGAAGGATTCAGCCGCGCGCTTCTGTCTCATCACTTCAGATGGACGCGCAACCGTAAATCACTTCCCATCACCGTGTCGTTCCTCGCGCTTCCGATCGGGATGCGGTGGATAGTGTTGTGTCAAGTGAGAATCTCCGTGGTTCTGTGCGTTGAATCAATCGGTCCATCCATGGTCCATCCCTCCCCCGGGATTACAGTCCTCCCATCATCTCTCCCTGCTGTTCTCTCCCCCCCGGCTGACGGGAAAATCTGCAGGCGCTGCGGTCTGACGCTCCCCGTCCGTGTCTCAGGTCTCGTGGAGCGCATGCGCTTGTTTTTCACACACAAGAACCGGGCACTCCCCTCCTCGCGCTCCGGTTAACGGGCAGGCACGCGTGCGTACGCATGGAGACGCAATGAGCAGCGCGCGCGCGCACACACACACGCACGCGCGCACACACACCACCACTACTACTACAGAGAAACAGGGAAATACTTTTTTAAATCATTTTGATACAGGTGTAGCCTAAATAAAATAGCATTATATAATGATATTATTAAAAACAATAACATTTTAATACCAAAAAATACAACCCGGTTTGTTTGAGTCTTTAAACAAATTGCCCCAAATATTTCAGCATTTTACAAAATATATTTTTTAATAGTCTTGCAATTATTTATTAAAAAGAGGATGTTGCCATTAACGGGTGTTTTGAGTTGAAACACAGGAAATGTAAACGCAATATTAAAAAACACGAACATTCTGAAAGAAATGGCTTATATAGGCTAAAGTGGCAAGTATTTCGTGAGCTCACTTACACTTGAGCAATAGCAGGAAACTGGCTCTCTTATTAAACCTAATGGAATGGAAACGGACTGGAATGCCAAGAAAACTTTATGATGAGAAAATATGATAAGTTTCTCAGAGTTTCCTCTTTGAGAAACTTTAAGAAGTCCAGGTCACACTAAATATTTGTGCTTAAAAAAAGCCACATTATTCAGATTTTTATTTTTACATTAGGCTACTTCACATATTTTCAGTTTGTAGCTATTTAAATAAAATGCCAGAAAAACAACTATGGATGTTCATTAAAACATTTGTAAACAATAAAGTCGGAGGTGACTTAAAGGAGTAGTTCACTTTAAAAAAAAACTTTTGCTGATAATTTACTCACCCCCATGTCATCCAAGATGTCCATGTCTTTCTTTCTTCAGTCAAAAAGAAATTAAGGATTTTGATGAAAACATTCCAGAATTTTTCTCCATATAATGTCTTTTGCATGGTACTGTACACACACAGACACACACAAACTATTATCATCTAATAGGCCTACCGTTTAGTTTGCACTCATATTTCTAAATTCCCAGCGAGCATTTACCAAAACTTTTATTTATTTTTATTTAAAAAAAAAGCAATGCAGTAGTTATCCAATTAACGTATTTATCCAATAGCGCCATCATATGGCGAAAAGGATGCAGTGCATCTCTGAAAATACTGAACAATAAAACATTGTTTTGAATGGATGGAATAACATTGTGCAAATGCTTAGGCGGCGTTACGCAAACAGGAGGAAAAGCATCGGAATGCTAACACACATCTATGTAATAAATATATATCTTTATTTGCACTTCATTAGTTTAAAAATGCAACAAGTTATAAATACCACAAAACTACTTAAACATGCCAAACTGCTTCAAATAACTAATACCAATGTATTATTCCTACAAAGAACTCTTCTATTTTGCAATGACATGAGGATGTTTCAATTTTTGTTTCTGTAGTAAATACTGATATGATTGGGGACTTAACCAAGACTTATTCTGTACAAAATGAAGGTTCATAAAGGCAACTGAGAAGTTTTAAGGTTGCGTCAAAAGCGTCATTGACAGTTGTTGTTTTTTTTTGCAGAACATGAAGTCAGTTCCTCTGGGGAAGACCAACTAAGCTTCATACACGGAAACAAAATATAAATACAAACAAGAAAACAAAGAAAGAGAGCGTCTTGAATGCAAATGTCAAAAATGTCAGTGGGGTTTTGCTGTAAATAATTATAAAAATAGAGTAAATCTGACTCTAGATTCAACTACCATCCAAAATAAATGATCAATTTGCCAATCGAAAGTGAAAAGCACTTGGTGAAAAGGAGTAGCTCATAAGGTTACGATATGGCACACGCTTACAAATATGAACATTTTGAGGTTAGTATTACACTCTCTCTAACATTGTTAACACACAATCCACAGGTTTAGGTTGGTTATGAACTTTCAAAGGACACACAGTTAAAAAGTTAAATTTGAAAAAGTTGATATAATAATAATGAACAAAAAAAAGCCATTTTTCACCATTAGCCTCTCGAAAACAGAACACACTCCAAGTTTGGGTTGTTTAGTACAACACTGGTTTACAAACACACGTAATGGGCTCTATGCACGGCGGTATTTCCGGTGAAGGTTTAAGGATGCTCGATAACATCCGCCGATCGAAGTTACGACGTCACTCTGTAGGCCAGAGTTAGCATTTTAGCACTACGGTTCCCTCGCTCTAAAGCCTATGGGATTTTTGAATGGGTTTTTGCTAAATCGGCTGAAATAAGGTCTGTGGTGAACAAAGCCTCTAAATATTTTCGCGTTTTGATCTATGACATAGAACACACAGTTATAACCTGCTTATGGTTTTTTTAAACTTCATTGTGTCTGATTGTGTTTTTTAAAATCTTTATATAGGCTTCCAAATGTATACATTTTGGATTAACTTGTAAAGATGATCTTGCTAGACAAAACGTGTAAGGGTCACAACCCTTTGTTAAACACAGATCTTATTTTTTGCGATTTTCCAAAAGTCTATGGGGAAAATGCATTGCTTCTCGACCAAGGGAACCCATGCGCCGCTAGTAGCTTCCGAGTTGTCCTACAAAGTGACGTCATCACTTCGGCACTCTAAACCCATGGTAATACTAAAGAAACATTAGTCACAAAAACAGATAAAACAGACATCCCTCGTTGTGTTTATGCTTCTTTTTAAAATTATATTAAATAAACATAACTATATATAAAATTACATTTAAACGTAGGAACGTTTTTTCCTCCGCTTTAATCTCCACAACCGGAAACTGTTGAGCGTCCTTGCGTCAAATACGGAACTTATGCGTGCATATAGCCCATACACTTCCACTACACACGTACATCATCTTTCTATTAGTTGACGTACAGTGAATATCATTAAAACTGTCCAGAACATTTACAGTTCATATTTCACTTCAAATGAAATAATAATAATAATAATAATAATAATAATAATAATAAAAAGTTACATTTTGCATAAAGATAATGGAAATTGGGTGGGGTGCTTAACTGTCATAAAAATGTTGTCAAATAAAGCAATTTATTTTTTAAGCTAAATATTGATTTTAGGGTCACACTGTAAAAAAAAACATAAATCTATAAAATAACGGTAAACTACTGGTAACTAAAAATGTTAACAGCTAAATACCATTTTGTCTACTATATAGTGTTAAATTAAGCTGACAAAACGGTCTTTAGTTGTCAAAAACAGTTAACACACCGTATTTTTACAGTATGATACTGGCAACCACAGCTGCCAGTAGTTTACCATTTTTTTACAGAGCAGATATGACAAATATATGTCATGAAAATCATTTTTTGGACAGTTGCTATGAAAAAGGCATCATATTCCTCAAAACCAGTTGCACAGCATATCTAGTGCCAGCTTAAAATAGTGTTTCCAATCAAACACCAGTTATAAAGTTTTGTTATATTACACAACTAAATCATTCCTAGTCGGACGTCCTTCATCTAACACAGGCAAATAACTCAATTCAACGTAAATCAGTGTTTTTTTCCAGGAACGCGGAGGCATAGTGATTTCAACTGAAGAGAACAAGTGATCCTCCTAAATGTCCCTTTTTACTCTCCACGGAGAAATAGCCCTTTCGGCGAGAGCAATTCATAAAACAATCACCCGATTAACAACCTTCCTTTATTCTACTCGAGTGAAATGACACTGAAACAGGGCTACTAAATAACAAAACTCTGAATAATAAGGTTAGTCTTCTGTACACAGGTCCTTCACTAACGTTCGTAAACTAGCTACGAATGGATTGTAGTGCAAAACACAACGGATAACGCAAAATCCAAACTCAAAAACAGTAACAATGATAGAACGTACGGCGTAAAGTCATTTCAACCCCCAAACATGCTGGTGATTAATAATGGGCCGAACAAACCACCTCGAGGAAACAAATTAACTCCACTAGGCATGAAATGTAGATCCACTTCGCTTTTAATGCCACATCGATTTGGAAGAGAGCTTCTTAATTTGAGACCGGGATCGTTTTCCATGAGTGCTTGAAACGACGTGAAGGGAAGTGAAAGTATCCGTCGTGCAATATAAACGGTAATTTCTGGTTTCAGTTAGAGTAAGTGATGATGTAAACTACATAAAGAGGAGTATGAGGCGTGTGTGCAGCGGTATCCCATAGGAAAGGCACGTGTCAGATCAACGCAATCGTGTGCTTCCCAGAAATGAGGTAGTGTATGCATGGGCCGTCAAAAATGTGTGTGATGATACGGATGATCTAGAAGTACCAAAATATGGACTGTAATTATTTGCACGGTGTGAAATCTATAGCGAGGGATGATTAAATGCTCTCTGGTAAGGACAGGCCATCATCTCATCAAGCATATGGGCTCATCAGGACATGGACCCCTGCTGGCGGGAGTCTGTAACAGCATGTGTGGGGTTATAAGAGGGAAGGAGGTGTTGGGTTTCTAAATAAAGCATGAAGCGAGTCTCAACAGCAGCGCATGCGAGGTGGAGGCAGCTCTGGTGGGAATTCAGGTTCGGGCTGAAGGGACAGGACACTGTTGGACAGCTCTCGACTGGGGACTTCAAGTGGCATCTGTGGAAAAACAACATTTCGTACGATTATTAGACTCTTCACTGACTGTCTGATGCACATTGCACACAAAAATGGCAAGATCTTGCTCAAAACTAGGGTTGCAAAATATAACAAAACCAAAATGCATGTTGGATCGGTTTAAAACGTGCATTTTTTTAATGCAAAATGCATTTAACTTGTAAGGAGAAGGACTCATAAAACAGGCGTTGTTAAAAAAGGAGACGTTTTAAAGGATCCCTGCGCTTTCTAGCCAAAATAAAAGCTTGACATTTAAAAATATCACGTTCAAAACAAACTTCAGTTGATTACATGCTGGTCCTTCCTGTCTAAGTGGGCGGTTCTTGGCCATAATAAACTGGAAAGTGGATCTGACTTTATGCCAATAGTCAAATTCTGGCTTTTGACATCCTACAAACTAGAAGCTTGTTTCCGCAACAGAATGAAAAATAAAAAGGTAATTGCGAATTTATATCTCACAATTGTGACTTTATATCTCGCAATTGCGACTTTATTTCTCAGAATTGCAAGTTTTTATCTCACAATTGCGACTTTATTTCTCAGAATTGCAAGTTTTTATCTCGCAATTGCGACTTTATATCTCGTAATTGTGACTATATCTCAGAATTGCAAGTTTTTATCTCGCAATTGCGACTTTATATCTCGTAATTGCGACTATTTCTCAGAATTGCGACTTTTTATCTCGCAATTGAGACTTTATATCTCATTATTGTGACTATTTCTGAGAATTAGAGTTTTTATCTCGCAATTGCGACTTTATTTCTCAGAATTGCGACTTTTTATCTCGCAATTGCGACTTTATATCTTGCAATTGAGACTTTATATCTCATTATTGTGACTATTTCTCAGAATTAGAGTTTTTATCTCGCAATTGCGACTTTATTTCTCAGAATTGCGACTTTATATCTCGCAATTGTGACTTTATTTCTCACAATTGTGACTTTATTTCTCAGAATTGCAAGTTTTTATCTCGCAATTGCGACTTTATATCTCGTAATTGCGACTATTTCTCAGAATTGCGACTTTTTATCTCGCAATTGCGACTTTATTTCTCAGAATTGCGACTTTATCTCGCAATTGCGACTTTATTTCTCAGAATTGCGAGTTTTTATCTCGCAATTGCGACTTTATATCTCGTAATTGCGACTATTTCTCAGAATTGCGAGTTTTTATCTCGCAATTGAGACTTTATATCTCGTAATTGCGACTATTTCTCAGAATTGCGAGTTTTTATCTCGCAATTGCGACTTTATATCTCGTAATTGCGACTATTTCTCAGAATTGCGACTTTTTATCTCGCAATTGCGACTTTATCAAAATTGCAACTTTATATCTCGCATTTGCGACTTTTTTTCTCACAATTCTGACTTCATATCTCGCAATTGTGAGACAAAAAAAATCTACATTATTTTTTCATTTTTTTATTCAGTGGCGGCAACAAGCTTCCCATAGTTAAGCTCTTGATGACACTATATGAGCCAGAAACACTCATGATACCTGATGAATGCCACATTCTCAGTCAAACTCATGAACAAAACAGTTAATAAAACAGCTCCACTTACCTTACTCAAAATATCATCAACTAGTTTAAGGAAAATCTCATCCACGTTAAAGTTATTCTTGGCACTGGCCTCACAGAAACGCATCCCTGATATCCGTGAAGCAAACTGCCATCAGAGAAGAAAAAAAAAGTACTTTATTTCAGAGTGACGGTTCTCCTGAATGGGTTAAATAGTTAAATAATTTAATATTTATTGCTTTTCAAATGCCCTCAGTTCTCTTTTAGAATAGCAACACACCTAGCTATTCTACATAACTTCAGTTATATACAATTCGAAAAATTTGAATAGAATGCAATTTCAGTAATTCAACTTAAAAGGTAAAACTAATTTATTATATAGACTCATAACATGCAAAGTGAGATATTTCAAGCCGTTATTAGTTATAATGTTGATGATTATGGCTTACAGCTTATGAAAACCCCAAATTCAAAATGAGAATATTGTGAAAACGTTTTCATATCTGTAAGCCATTATCATATCGCAATATCTCACTTTGCATGTATTGAGTCTATATAATATATTAGTTTCACCTTTTAAGTTGAATTACTGAAATAAATAAACGTTTGCACGATATTCTACTTTTTCGAGTTTCACCTGTATGGACTGCTTTTATGATACTCTTGAATGACACTGGATTGAGTAAATAATGTTTGAGTGAACTAAAATGTGTTCTCACTCACTAATAGAGTAAGTTTTAGTCTCAGTGGGTTTGGAAAGGTTGGCGGAGACATTATTTACAGCATTCAAAGAATCTCTCTGTGGAGAAATAATAATGTCCCTGTGTCCAGGGCTTTGGACACCAAGTTGTAATTCAGCATTTTCCTCCACCAAACAAAATGTCAAAGTAAACAGCATTATACAGCTGAAATCAAGATACTAAATTTAGGTTAAACTACAGAAATAACAACAAATCAACAGGTATCAGAATAAAAATAGGAGCTCTTTGTGTCTCGTAGTAAAAAGCCATTAGCTATTTGCCGCATATTTGCCGTTGTTATTGTTAACTTATCTAAAAGTATTAATTTTAACACTTTATTTTGATGGTCCCCACATTCTGCTGACTAAGTAACGTCTACTAACTCCTAATTAGAGTGGGTCAGCTGGCCAATCAGATCACTCTAGGCTTTTCAGAAGGAGGGGCTTTGTAGAAATCAGTGTGTTTCATATAGAAGAGCTGCAATAATGCAGTACAGTACGTGAAAAACAATGTGTTTTTTAAAGCACGCAAAGCTAACCAAAATAATGAACTTTTAAAATGGCATCATATGACCATTTTAGATTAAAAACACCATAAATGTTAGAAATGTTGCTTTGATAACTACTTGATACTAGTTAAAATTTAAATGTACTAAAACTAAAACAAAAAATTAGGGCTGTGCAAAAATTAATTGCGATTAATCGCATCCAAAATAAAAGTCTGTGTTTACATAATATATTTGTGTGTGCTGTATATGATTATTTTGTATATATAAATACACACACATGCATGTATATATTTAAGAAAATGTGTTATTCATATATAAAATATTTATATTTGTATAATATAGATTATGTATATATATATATATATATATATATACAGAATTTAAGCGCAAATAATTCTTAAATATATACATGCATGCATAGGTATTTATATATACAAAATAATTATATACAGCACACACAAATATATTATGTAAACACAGGCTTTTATTTTGGATGCGATTAATCGCAATAAATTTTTGCACAGCCCTACAAAAAATACATAAATCTCTCGTCTCAGGGGGATATGAGGGTGGAAAGCACGGTAATTCGAAAATACTACAGGTTTCCTACTGATACAAAGCTTAATTGCTAAATCCTAAAATAAAGAAAAACTAATTTGGTGTATAAATAATACTAAGATAACAGATAACAGCGGTCTCACTCTCTCAGCTTGTTGTCGTGAGATGGCGCGATCAGACTCGCAGTCCAGTTTGTTCCCGACCAATAAGAGCTCAGCATCCTCTGACGCATACTGCACAGAACCAAACCCAAAAGTTAGATAACAATCACTGCTGCACAACAGAAAAGAAATCAGTGTTTGTGATGTTTGATCACCTTGTCTATCATCTTCATCCATTTAGGCAGGTCTTCGAAGGTTTCCTGCTTGGTGATGTCATAGACCAGCACGATGCCTTTGGCGCCACGATAATACGCCGACGTGATGCTGTTAAACCTCTCCTGACCTGCCGTGTCCCTGCAATTATTCATCGTTATTCGCCTCACATAACATTCAGAGTGGGGAATAAATCATATGCTAGACTACAAAAGAAAGGGAATTGATTTAACAGTGAAACGTCTCTCTATAATCACAGCGGTTGGAGGGGAAGTTGAAAAGGTAAGAGGGATTTGTGGAGACAGCTGAAAAAGAAAGTCAATTTATTTCATTTTTATAACAGATTAGAAAGACAAACAACATGCACCCGATGACGAATCACTCAAAATAAGAACAGGAAGGTGCATTATGTAAATGATCAGCGTGTTATCATCTAATTTGCTTTACTTGTATCTCAGCAGCTCATCACATCGAGATTGAAAGGAAAAACACATTACTGCACATGATAGATGTTTATCTCCTTGTTTTTACTGTACCTTTTCCACCCTAGTCTGGCTGCATTTTTCCAAAACAGGATATGATGTCACAAAGAGGACCGGTGAGGCGTCACATGTCAATGAGCAGTTAAGACGGACAGTGAAGGAGCCATGGATGCTGGGAAGCTGGACGTGAGCGGACATGTGTTACACACACAGATTAAAAGCAGACAAGTGTGTTGTGAGAGAAGCCGGTGTGTTTCAGGGTCAAAGGGAAATAATTAGGGCTGTCAAACGATTAATCGCATCCAAAATAAAAGTTTGTGTTTACATAATATATGTGGGTACACTGTGTAGAATTATTATATATATAAATACACACACATGCTTGTATATATTTAAGTATATATTTTTATATATATTTGTGGTGAGCAGGACGGCCGAGGGACGTGAGAGAAAGTCGCGAGGCCGGTGGTGCGATTGCTAATGAGCAGCACCTGTGAAGCACACCGGTCTCGCATCTCTCACGAAGGAGCGGAGCCATAAAGGGGGAGCGACGGAGTGGATGATCGAGAGAGGAACAGGCCTGCTTTTATTTGTATTTTATATTTTATTTGGTAAGCCAGCAGTCGTCCGTGAGGGGCTGCTGGCCGGTATTTATGTTTTATTTTGGTAAGCCAGCAGTCGTCCGCGAGGGGCTGCTGGCAGGTAATTTGTTTGTTTATTTTATTTAAATAAAGTTTTATTTTATTATTATTATCCGGTTCCTGCCTCCTCCTTCCCTGAACTATGTTACAATATTATATATTCTTTTGTATATGTTTTTTATATTTTTATAGACCATTTCACAAGATGTAAACAACACTGGTCCAGAAGCACTTCCTGTTTCAGTTTGTAACTGTTTTCTTTATTTCACATGTAAAGAAAACATCTTAAAGATGTTTGTTTAACTTTTTGATTCAGTTTTAAATGTTCTGTTGGTTGTATTTTATTCCAGCTTTTATGTAGTGTTAAAAAACTGAAACAGGAAGTGCTTCTGGACCAGTGTTGTTTACATCTTGTGAAATGGTCTATATATTTTTATATATTTATTTTTTAAATATAGATTTATATATATTTTATATTATAATATTTTATATATAAATAATATTTTTTTCTTAAATATACATGCATGTGTGTGTATTTATATAAATAATTATACACAGTGACAGTGCACCCACATATATAATGTAAACGCAAACTTTTATTTTGGATGCGATTAATCGCGATTAATCGTTTGACAGCCCTAAAAATAATCATAAACTGGGTGGGTGGGTTAGGATTAGTTAGTGTGATTGGTTAGTAGATGACTAACCCAGACTCCACTGAAACAAACAAGCTATGGAACTAATACAGAACAGAATAGAGTAGAATAGAACTTCTAAAATAGTATAGAACCATATAAAACTACATACAGGTGAAACTCGAAAAATTAGAATATCAGGCAATTTAATATATAATTTTGATGATTATGGCTTACAGCTTATGAAAACCCGAAATTCAAAATCTCAGAAAATTTGAATATTGCATGAGATCAATAAAAAAAAGGATTTTAAATACATAAATATCGGCCCCTTATCAAAAATATAATCATGTTATATAGTTATTAGAGTTGCAAAATTCTGGGAATTTTCCATGGGAATTAACAGGAATGTACCTGAATAAACTGCTAAAGTGGGAATTTACAAAGATGGAAACTTTCCATGGGAACTAATGCCAATTAACAGGAATTTATGTGAATAAACTGTAATAAAGTGGGAATTTTCAAAGTTGAGGGTTGGCTCTTCATAGGGAATTTAAATATAGTTGAGGAAAGTATATTTTAGCATAACCTTGACTAAGCAAAGTGAAGTAAATTTTGATGATATTATGGGGAAATATATTTATTAAATGTTTACATTGCAAATATCACATACAAATGTATTCATCTAGTAGCAATACTGATAAGTTAGATGCTAAATAAGATAGCATAACTTTATTTACCACATAAAGCAGATGCTAGCTTACCTCATGTGGCTGTTTTTCCAACCGGCCCAACCCTAGTAAGAATACTAATGCAATGGCATGAACAGATCCACAAATATTAAGGCTAGCTAAACAACTGGAATGATCTTGAAAAAATATTGCAGGAGGCAGAGAAAAATCACCCTAGTAACACCATAGCAACCACCCAGAACACCTTAGCAACCACCTATCTAAAAGAGAATAGAACAGCAGTCAAATAGAAGAAACAGAATAGTATACAATAGAACCAAACCACAAGAGAACTGGACACAATAATCAAACTGGAAAGAATCAAACTTAATAGAATAGAATCTGAAAGAATCAAACTGAATAGAATGGAATCTGAAAGAATCAAACTGAATAGAATAGAATCGGAAAGAATCAAACTGAATAGAATCGGAAAGAATCAAACTGAATAGAATCTGAAAGAATCAAACTGAATAGAATAGAATCGGTAAGAATCAAACTGAATAGAATAAAATCCGTAAGAATCAAACTGAATAGAATAGAATCGGAAAGAATCAAACTGAATAGGCTAGAATCGGAAAGAATCAAACTGAATAGAATAGAATCGGAAATAATCAAACTGAATAGACTAGAATCTGAAAGAATAAAACTGAATAGAATGGAATCTGAAAGAATCAAACTGAATAGAATATAATCAGAAAGAATCAAACTGAATAGAATAGAATCTGAAAGAATCAAACTGAATAGAATAGAATCGGAAAGAATCAAACTGAATAGAATCGGAAAGAATCAAACTGAATAGAATCTGAAAGAATCAAACTGAATAGAATAGAATCGGTAAGAATCAAACTGAATAGAATAGAATAGAAAAGAATCAAACTGAATAGGCTAGAATCGGAAAGAATCAAACTGAATAGAATAGAATCGGAAATAATCAAACTGAATAGACTAGAATCTGAAAGAATAAAACTGAATAGAATGGAATCTGAAAGAATCAAACTAGTGATGCACGATATATCGGCCGCCGATATAATATCGGCCGATTTGGTCAATTTTTTACACATCGGTATCGTTCCGATGTCAAAATAGGGCCGACGTGAACAGGCCGATGATCATTCCCTGTGTATTTGACTTGCGTGGGGGCGGGGATGTTTGTTTTTGCACGCGTATTAAAAGCGCAAGTGCGTTTAAACATCAAGCGCACGAAGACTGGAACTGGTGAGCTGTTTTCTGCCAGCCTTCCTAATGCGTATTTTTGTCCCGCCAAAGCCATATTTGACCGGTAAGTGATGTAGATGAGTGACTGGTGCGCTTGTTTAACTGAGGGAACGAGAGTCAATTAAAGCACCGGTCACGCGCGCCGCCTTCAAAATGTCTTTCGCTTGTTTAACTCAGGGAACAAGAGAGAGTGAAAGCACCGGTCACGCGCGCCGTCTTCAAAATGTCTTTCGCTTGTTTAACGGAGGGAACAAGAGTGAAAGCACCGGTCACGCGCGCCGTCTTCAAAATGTCTTGCTCTCTCTCCCCCTCACGCATGTTTATGAATTGAGTTGACTGAATATCTTTGAGAATACACGATGGTAAAAGGTCGGAAGACCGAAGTTTTTTTCTTCTGAACTACTGGTTGTGAATTGTAAAACCACACTTTCAATAAACCAAAAAAAAAAAAAATCTATCGTGTTGATGAAATGTTTTCTGTGTCGACTGTCGAGACCATAGACTGTAAAAATAAGTCGAGACAAATCTCGTGCGATGTTCTAAACTGCCTGGATAATCACAACGTGTGCCGTGGTTCCGTTAATGACACGTCCGATTCGCGAACTAATGACTCCTTTGAACCGATTCACTTTAATGAATGGTTAAAACAACTGATCTGTCCAACACTGAGCTCAAGATACATAAATCGGAAACACTTTACAATAAGGTTCCATTTATTAAAGTGTACATTAAATGAACACTTTAATAAATGGAACCTTCTTGTAAAGTGTAAGGTTAATAGATTAATAGAATGTTAACAAATTTTGTTAACATTCTATTAATATTAGTTTCTGTGGATATACTCCATGACAAAACTACCCCAGTCATTCTAGAATGATTCATTCTTTCCAAATAGAGCAATTTAAGTAATCTGGTGAAATTGTTTTTATATCACAATATATATCGCAGAAAAATAAAATATCACAATGTCATTTTTTACCAATATCGTGCAGCCCTAATCCTCGCTATGTGTTTTCTATACAGGGATATCGACATCGGTAAATATCGGTATCGGCCATAACAGCAATGTTAATATCGGTTATCGGTATCGGCCACAAATTTTCACATCGGTGCATCACAAAATTAAACTGAATAGAATATAATCAGAAAGAATCAAACTGAATAGAATAGAATCTGAAAGAATCAAACTGAATAGAATCTGAAAGAATCAAACTGAATAGAATAGAATCGGTAAGAATCAAACTGAATAGAATAGAATCGGAAAGAATCAAACTGAATAGACTAGAATCTGAAAGAATCAAACTGAATAGAATGGAATCTGAAAGAATCAAACTGAATAGAATAGAATCGGAAAGAATCAAACTGAATAGAATCTGAAAGAATCAAACTAAATAGAATAGAATCGGTAAGAATCAAACTGAATAGAATAGAATAGGAAAGAATCAAACTGAATAGGCTGGAATCTGAAAGAATCAAACTGAATAGAATAGAATTAACAGCCAGCGGTCGGCAGGATTGATAATGAGAAGGTGAGAAGGGACGTGCATGGACATACATTTCAGTTAGTGAGATGATATTAGTGATATCACACTTTAAATGCACAGATTTACATTCACTGTTGAATTCTGGGATGCTGCGAGTGTGTAATCACAGATTTGATGAGTTAATTAAAATGCTTTAATAACCCCAGATATGCTGTCTGACATAATTTCAAAATCTAGCCTTGAGTTTAGTATCCTCAAGTGTTAGTTAATGGCTGGTTAACTGTAAAGCAAACACAACTGATTACATCTCAAAAGCTACACTTGAAAGATGTTTAACTGGCTCTCAGAGACTCCGGTCTGGAATTAATGACTTGATCTCATGTGCTTCTGAGACACAGGAAGTGACATGGTGGGCTGAGTCAATGATAAGGACACAGGACTTCCTCTCCACTCACCAGATCTGTAACCTGATCTTCTTTCCTCTCAGCTCCACTGTTTTGATTTTAAAATCCACACCTTCAAAACCAATGAGAAGAAATAAGATCAGCTTTAACATTCCTTTAAAATTCATGCTTATCAAATATTATATGCTAATCATTCATATTTAATGGGTCCGGCATGTCGCGGCAGCTGTGTGAACCTGTGTCTGGCTATTCTGGGATACTGGGTTAGATAACAGCACGCAAATAATCTGATGTGAACGCCTGTCAGGAGTGTGTGATAACCTTGCTGTAACACTTTCATGTAGTTAATAGCTAAAAACCACTGATTTTGTATCAAAGCAGGGTTTTATTATTTAAATCAGAATTTGTGTGTGTGTGTGTGTGTGTGTGTTACATGACTGATGCATTGATTCAGTGCTGGGCAGATCTCTTGTGTAAACAGTTTAGACAAAAACTGAAATGACATTCATGTTAACATAAAACTCTTTTAAATGTGGTTTCATCCATATGTGTTACTATCATTATTAATATTAAATTAAATGTTCTCTGATTTACATGGTCACAGGCCATGATTTGATTTTCATGATTTGACAGAAGTGATTTTCAGATGTTTTTCTGTGTGTATGTGTGTGTGTATAAATGTATATTAATTAATTTTACACACACCTCCACAATATTACCCACAATAAAATAACATCCATCAAATGCCAATGCTAATCAAATGAATCACTGGTAACTACCAAGGCCATCCAAACTAGCTATAGTTATATCAATCTATGCTAAACTAGTTAGTTTAGTTTATTTCGGTCAACTTCAAAAGAACGAAAAAAGAAAAGAAAAACAATTTACAAGCAAACATAGAAACGAAAATTAAATTACCATGTAAACAATATTTATAAAAGAAAAAAAGTTGCTTGACCGAAAAAAGGTGTCGGCTAAAGTTTATCCATATTGCGCCAACCCTTTTTACTTTTCATTTATTTTACACACAACACCAACACTAGTGTGTCAACTTAGCTATAATCTTTAACAACCATCTATGCTGTAAGATGGTTTTACAAATTCATACTCGACATAGTTATATTATTATAATTAGCTACTTTATACAAATTGTTAGCAGTCTAGTTTACTAATCATTAGGCCTAATAGTTCATTATGTATACTAAAATGGATATTTATTATATATCTAACGTTATAGTGACCTATAATAACTTGGACAGGACAGTTGATCTGGAATTTATTTGTTTTGTGAGCAGTTCCACAATAATGCGGTATGTATTGTTATAATAATGAAGCATAAAGATAAGGTAGCCTAGTACACAAATACACTGACAGCTGCTCCAGCCTCTATTTCTGTAGTTTGTTTGTCTTACCCACAGTGGACTTGCACGCCTCGCAGAAGGTGTCATCCGTGAATCTCTCCATAAGGCTGGTCTTTCCCACACCGCGGGAGCCGATGATGATCACCTGTAGTTTATAATCAGCGGCTCTGGGCGGCATCTTCCTGCGGCGCTGCGAAGCTCCCACAGCGGGTGAGCCTCCACCGGCCCTCCGCTGGACCCCGAAGCCCGACTCCATCCGCCACTAACGGCCAGTCCACATCTGCCACACGGCCAGCCCGCTTCAAACACACCCGCGCATCACGGAGGGGAACTTTAAAACACTTTCAAGCGGCTTTTTGGAAGAGTTTGTCAAAGTTTTATTTCAGTCAGTCAGTTGTTGTCCTGCACTGGGAATTCGAGAGCAGCCGTGACGTCACCACCACTTCCGGTTCCTACGCATTCCAAAGGAAGAGCGGAGCAAAGTTCCCCTTTAGAATAAACACACTCGGACGATTCATCGCTTAGAAATAATATTTCATATCAAATGTGGAAGAATAAATCGCACACATATGTTGCTTTTTCAATAGTTATTTACTAGAAAAGCACCATCATTGTACCTGATATTTCAGATACTGTATTTAATTTATTATAGTCTTCATTTTTTTAATTATGTCAAGTCACCTTTATTTATATAGCAATTTTTATTTTTATTTATTTATATAGCAAACTTTACAGTGATAACAGAAAATAATGCAACGAAGTTAGGGTTAAGGTTTCTGCTGTATAGTAGCTAAGTTCATTTTTGTTGTAAAAAAAGTTATGTAGTTTATATATATATATATATATATATATATATACGGTATATATGAAGAGTTCAGATGCAAAAGCCTCTAAATGCCATTTGAAATTTTCTTCTTTAATGATGATTTTTATCAAACTTCTATATTTATGTTCAGTAATTTCACTTAAATAATAATTAATAGGTAATCTTCATTGCCATTTAAGTGAAATTACTGAACATAAATATAGAAGTTTGATAAAAATCATCATTAAGGAAGGAAATTTCAAATGGCATTTAGAGGCTTTTGCATCTGAACTCTTCATATATACACACACACAGTCGTTTTCTCCCGATAATCTAAATATTATGATACCAGTTACACCGACCTTTTCTTTATTCTTTGACATATTTTTTACTCATCTAAATATTGCACATGTAATGTAGAAAACTAAGAGAAAAAACTTTTTTTTTGTGAATTTTGCAAATAAGATTATTAAATAAATTGCAAATATAAAAAATATCTATTACATATATTTTAATATATTCTATTTAACCATAACAAATAACACACACATAAATTAAGATATAAATATAAAAAATAAAGCAGAACAATTTATTATTCTACAGTAATTATCAAAATTACAAATATATTATATCTGAAAACACATTATTAATAATAATAATAAATACGTTTTACTTGTATATCAATTAATATATGAATAATAAAAATAAGGCAAACATATCTTATTCTGTATAATTATAAAAATAACAAATATATTCTATCTGTAAACAAATAAATAAATTAGTACATGAATAATACAAATAAAAGGCAAACAATATATAATTATAAAAATAACAAATATATTCTATCTGTAAACAAATAAATAAATTTGTACATGAATAATACAAATAAAGGTAAACAATATATTATTATATATAATTATAAAAACAACAAATATATTCATAAATGCATAAATAAATAACTAGATTATATGTATATATAAATAAATATACACATAAAAAAACAAGGCAATTGTAAATCGCAGATGTTGAAGGGTGCATTACAGCATCCCACTCGGGCTCCCGTAGATAAACACCGTGACGCGGATGAGCTCTAAAGAAAATCTGGATAATCTACGTAACGGTCCATCCTCCTCCTCCTCCTCCTCCTGAGCAGCGGGTCAGTGTGTGTCTGTGTCTCTGTGTGTGTGTTTGCTCTTCATCCGCGAAACACTGAGCCATGGCCGCACAGAAGATCAACGAGGCGCACGAGCACATCGCCAAAGCCGAGAAATGGTGAGATTGATCAGATTATACTATAGCCTATTATTGTCATATCGTGACAGAATGAGCGGACCGGCCAGGACAGGTCAGACCTCGGCCTGCTGTCGCTGACAGGGAAACCGACTATAGCCTAATTCTGCAGCTAGAGAACGGGATGCGTTTGCTTTCAACTAATGTAACAGTGGAATCAGTCCAGATCGTTACATGAGATGCTGAAGGACGAATGTTGTTACACCGCGAGACTGATTGCGTAATCAGTGCTGGAGGTTACCTTGACGACAGCTGCATCCATTGGTCCTATATTCCTCATTATAAACACTACTGATGATGTTTACGCGCACATCATGTGGGAGACACAGGGGCAAGTTGTCACACACTCTACATCGCAGTGGATTTCGAGTCAAATTCCTATTACATAAATGTGTTTGTTCCAAAGGTTGTTTACGAACACCCAGTTCAGAAACTAAATGTTAAATTATGTGCATTATTATATTATGGAACATCTTTGTATTATGTTAGCCTACACCTAGTTCAAAAACTAGTTAAATTATGTGCATTATTTTATATTATGGGACATTTTTGTAATATGTGCACTCTCAGATAAAAAGTACGAAAGCTGTCACTGGGGCTGTAGCTTTTCAAAAGGTAAACTTTTGTCAATTTTTAGGTGCTAATATGTACATTTTAGGTGCTAATATGTACCATTAAAGACTTCTTTATTTTTTTCCCTCAGAGTGTGTTACAACCGGTTAAAAAACTAGTGTTAAATTATTTGCATTATATTATATAATGCATATTTTTTGTATCTATTATCCTGTGAAAGTACAATTCAGCAAACAATTAATGATTTAAAATGTACTTTAAAGTGAAACTTTGGGTAACACTTTTTTCAATTCTCACTATTAACTAGTTGCTTATTGGCATGCATATTACTAGAATATTGGCTGTTTAAAGCACATATCAATGCCTTAATTTGCATGATCTCAACTCTACAACTACCTTATTATCTATTAATAAGCAGTAATTATGAGTTTATTGAGGCAAATGTCAATGTTAATAGTGAGAATTGGACCCTAATATAAAGTTTGACCAGACTTTTAATTTGACATTACAACAAAGTGTGCTTTTTAAAAGTGTGACCTCTTTAAGTACACCATAAGTGGCTTTTTAGTAAATTATTATTGTGTTTTCTGCAAGTAAAGTTTTTAAAAATATACTTTTAAGATTTGAAATACAAATGCACATTCAAGCACAGTTCATTCTCACACAAGAGTTGGGTTAGCTGTAAACCGCATAAAAATGATGAAATGTGTTTTCGCAGCTTAAAGACCAGCATGACCAAGTGGAAACCTGATTATGATGAAGCAGCTTCAGAGATGGCAAAAGCAGGTGATGTAAACCTTAAATAAAAGAACGTCTTGCACTGATAATATTGATCTGAAATAATAATGCCCAACACGATTATAACTAATAACAATGTCTGTGTCATATTAGCTGTGGCTTTCAAAAATGCGAAGCAGTTTGAACAAGCGAAGGATGCGTACCTGAAAGAGGCCGAGTACCACACAGAAAACAAAGCGTATCCTTCTGCACATCAGCACTTCATGAAGAACACTGTGAAGAAGAAGAAGAAATCACAACTGCAAATATAACACACCAAATAAGACTAAATATTGTGCAGTACAGTGGGATTTTACTTTATCTCTAAAGTCAGATGTTTCTGCTTCACTATATGATTGAATCACCCTAATATTAGGTACAATTTATAGGAATAACTACACCATGCAATACGCTACCATTCAAAATAATTTTTTTTAATAAATGCTGTTCTTTTGAACTTTCTATTCAACAAAGAATCCTGATAGATCAAATTTATCAGGGTTTCCTCAAAAATATGAATCAGCACGACTGTTTTCAACATTGATTATAATCAGAAATGTTATTGATCATCAAATCATCATATTAGAGTGATTTCTGAAGGATCATGTGAAGACTGGAGATTGCTGTAAATTCAGCTTTGATAACAGGAATTGTAATAATATTTTAAAATATAACGTTTTTTACTGTATTTTTGATCAAATAAATGCAGCCTCGGTGAGCAAAAGAGACTTTCTAAAACATTAATAAATCTTCCCGAACGCAAATTTTTGAACAGTTTTGTATGTGTACTTATATTTACTTAACGAAAACTCACAGACTCTTCCATGCAGCAAAGTAAGTAAATGTTTATAATTCAAATATCTCTAAATCTATAGTTTACCTATCTATGCTAAACCGATTTAGTTGACTAATTTCATGGTTAACAACAAACTACAATTTTAACTATCTTTGTAAAACGGTTAGTTCCGATCCTTGATTCTGATTGATTGGTCAATAGCTGTGATTTATTCATGATAAAACATGGCAATGACCGCTTCACACAACGGTTCTATGTATTACTGCGCAACACACTGGAGCGTTGTTGCTGTTCACGCTCAAGGACTATTTTTTTCTAGCGGAAGGAACGCTTTTAGTGATTTTACTTCATGAAAGTTGCACTAATACATTTTTTTTCCTTAATTATTTTTATTGTGTTTTAACCGTTTTATAAAAACAATAAGATACTCGAGGTCGAGGCAAGTGCTGTGTGAATAAGTAACGGCTGAAGGGGTTCAGACGCGAATCGCGTCGTGCTTTACAACCATAACAGCCGTTACTTATTCACGATACAGCACATACTTGACTACTTAGTTTATAGTATATGTAGTTAACTGTCTGTACAATACTCACCGTATTGCCATCGATGATGAAACAAGCTTCTCTTCTTCTCAGAGCGTATGAACAAGCCGGCATGATGTTGAAGGTGAGTCGGTCCGTACAGTGATGGTTACGGGTGGCCTGTAGGTTTGAGACGGTGTGTAAAATGACTCTTGTACACCTGCAGGACATGAAGAAGATGCCTGAAGCCATCCAGCTGATAGAGAAGGCCAGCATCATGTACATGGAGAACGGGACCTCTGGCACTGCTGGGATTGCCTTGGACAGGGCTGGGAAGTGAGTATACACACCGATGACTGGTCTATGATCAAAACCAGTGGCGGAAATTAACCTATAATAATATAATCTTGCATTATTAGAGGCTGCAGTTTCAAGACCTCAGACTGAGAGACGCATTTTAGGACCCTAGTTTTTTGTGCCAAAGTATAGATACAGTCGGCAACGCGTCATAGTTGGGGGGCGTGGTCGGCGTGGGGGAAAGCAGCGCGACCATCCTATGTATTTGAATGACAAAAATGTCATATTGCGAGTCATTTATGCCTGCCGACCGGCAACGATACATTGCAAATTTAACTGTAATAGGTTCTCTTTCATCATCTCGTGTTCGAGATCCACCTATGGGAAGGGCATCCGTACCTGACCTCTGCAGAAGCATCCAATTGCACCAAGTCTGGCTAGACAGACAGAAGCGCGCGGCCAGTGCCCGATGAGGCCACACCCCTCACCCACGGGCATATAACATCTGGGCGCGCTGCTATTCCTCAGTTGACATTCGCTTCTCGCGACCTCTGCACTGACACAGTTCGGTTGGATTAACGTTACACTGTCCACTTTCGAGTCTACAGGAGGACATATCGCCAGATCAGCCTCCGCCAGACGTGAGTGACAGTCGTTTTTCTTCAGCCTATCCGCTGTGTTTTTTGCATCCGGAGCCGCCGAGCTCTCACTGTCCTTCACCTGCTCCTCCTTACATGGCTGCCCGCCACGTATTTTCCGAGTTCTTCACCGCTGGCCCACCCATGGCTATGTGACCGTCTAAACAGCCGCTTCCCCTGGGGAACAGTCCATCACGACGAGCCTGCCCGGCCGCGTGTGGTGCTCTCATCGCCGCTAAGGACCCTCTCGTTCTGCGCGGTCCGCTTGGCTTAGCACGCTCAAGAAGCTTTGGAGAACCCGGAGAATTGCGGTCATTGTAATTGCTGCCCATGTAGCTTTTTACAAAGCCGGCTTTAGTTGCACTATCCAGCGCACCGTGCTTGGCATTTCTTACTCGGATGGGGACACGGTGATGATGACGCGCTACCGGGGACTCCCGGAGCGCCACAGATAAAATATTTGAGCGGTATTCAGCCCAATCTGCATTCCCTGAAGAGGACATCTTCGCGGGAAAACCTCACTCTCGTTGACGAACCGGTACGGTTCCGGCGACGAGGATGACGCGGTCTTTCTAACGTTACCCTAAGCTAGCGCTCACGCGGTTTTGCCTCAGTCGATCCTCCTGGAAGTTTGTGAGCGAGCGGCCGTTCGTCTCAACATTGTGTGGCCAGCTCCATAGAGCGCCACCGACCAGGATAGGAATATTTACGACGGGTAAACGCGGGTACCACCGCCCAGCCTGAGGAAACAACTCTTCAACGTTTTTTCCAGTGTTCGCGAAGCTCTCAAGCGCGCCTAGAGCCTCCCGCTAGACTGTTAACACTGTCTCACGGGCCTTGATGAGTAGGAAGGCGGCCCTGAACGCTAGCAGCCCGCCTGCTGTTCCACCATGGGAGCCTCCAGCCCGCGTTCACGGGCCACGGAGCCCTCCGTATTCTCCCGGTCCCGGAACCCTTGTCCGAAAGACACGGGGTCTCCCTCGGACGGTCGGGTAATCCCGTCTCGTGGCTACCAAGCCACAGGGGGGCTGTTGTGAGGGAAAGTACATAAGCAGTGTTACCACACCGCACACACTTGGTTCCCTCACCCAGTTATTAAAGGCTTGCCCCAGTGTTTCCCAACACAAAACACAAACTATTATTAAACGAATCAAATGAATTCGTGCAGATTTTTATATCTGTGTCAACATAGAGAGAAAATCTCTCTGATCCCTTGCATGTCGCCCCTAGTCTACCCTCAAGATGGCGCCATTGCCTCACAAATCAACCAGCTGGGCTCGCACAGCTCAGTTGCGGCTGCAAGCCATGTGTTTCTAGTGCACGTTGTGTGTGTGGAAGGCTTGGTCATTGTGTTTCCCAACACATAACTAAATACACGTTTAAACAAACTATTCTTATATATCCTTAAAAATGGATAGTATTTTCTGCCTGCACTTGAGACTGCCCAGTTCATGTGTTCAGGAGATGTGTGTTTTTCCCCCCAATTTCAAGGGGCTCCTTGTGGGTAAAGTTTAGCACAGTGTACACCACACTATGTTTGCCCAGTTCACGCAGTGTTTGCCCAACACAAAACCCACAAACACAAATAATAACGAATCTAACAAATTCGTTTCGGAGGAAAAACCTCTTTCCGCAGAGAGAACCTTCTCACTGCAGAGAGAGGAAACCCCTCCGAACCCCCGCATGTCGCCTCTAGTGTGCCCACGAGATGGCGCCATTGCATCACAAATAATTCTGTTGGTCTCAAGACACAGCTCTGCTCTGTCCCGAGCGGGGACACTCGCGAGTCACGAAGCGGCTTGGCGAACCGTTTCGGCTCCCAAGTGGGTTATGCGTACAATAATGCAGGGTTACAGATTGCAATTCGCAGTAAAACCCTCTCATTTCAACGGCATTCTCTTTTCTCACACGGAAGAGAAAGCTTCTCACATTCTGGAAGAGGAAAATTCATCTCTCTTAAACAAGGGAGCGATTCAGGTGGTACCCCCCAATCTGATGAACCAGGGTTTTTATTCCCGGTATTTTCTGGTTCCAAAGAAAGGCGGCTCTCTCCGCCCTATCTTGGACCTTCGAGTGTTGAACAAACATTTGAGGAAATACACCTTCAGAATGCTGACACAGGGCGCTCTCGCCCGTGCCATAAAACAGAACGACTGGTTCACATCAGTCGATCTGAAAGATGCTTTCTTTCACATAAGCATTTATCCTCCGCACAGGAATTTTCTTCGTTTTGCCTACCAGGGCATATGTTGCGAATTCACAGTTCTTCTGTTTGGACTCAGTTTGAGTCCCCGGTCTTTCTGTCTGTGCGCGGAGGCGGGCTTAACGCCTCTGAGAATAACAGGTCTGAGAATCCTGACTTACATAGACGATTGGCTCATCATAGCCGAATCGAAGGAGAAGGTGTTGCAGGACACCGGCCGTGTGCTCGCGCACATCACATCGCTCGGGTTCCAAGTGAACGTGGGCAAGAGCAATCTCACGCCCAGTCAGAATGTCAATTTCCTGGGTTTGGAGTTGAACTCGGTTGCCATGCGAGCGCGTCTCTCTCTAGAGCGCGTTCGCTCTCTATGAGCTGTCTGTCACAGTTCAGAGAAGGGGCGAAAGTGCAATATCGCACATGTCTCAGGATGCAGGGTCTCATGGCTTCATCCACCCAAGTTGTGCCATTAGGACTCCTTAAGATGAGGGCGTTCATGAAATGGGTTTTGTCGCTACATTTCAGCCCGATTCGCGACCTTTGCCGCTCGGTTACAGTGACGCGCGCGCGTGCACTGCAGCCCTGCGCCATTGGAAGAACGCAGACTTTTACGCACGGGGAACCCCTCTCGGGGCGGTTACGATGCGGAAAGTGGTGACGACAGATGCATCCTTAACAGGCTGGGGTGCCACCCAGGAGGGCAAAACGGTGAACGGTCTGTGGCCAAACAGACTACGTTCAGCACATATAAATTATTTAGAGCTTTTTTACCAATTGTAAAGCTCTGAATCATTTTCTGCCTCGCCTGCAGGGACATCATGTGCTGGTACGGTGCGACAATACCACGGCTGTGGCATATATCAACCGTCAGGACAGCTTGCGCTCGTCGAAACTTCACCTCCTAGCTCACAAGCTCTTGGTGTGGAGCAGACGGGTTTTCTTGTCGCTACGCGCGACTCACGTCCCAGGCATTCTGAACGTCGGCGCATATCTGCTGTCAAGGGGAAACCCAATCTACGGGATTGGCGTCTTCATCCGCAGATAGTGGAAATGCTATGGATGAGATTTGGACGGGCTAGCGTAGATCTATTCGCCTCGCGCGGAAACTGCCATTGTCCTATGTTCTTCTCTCTAAGGGACGTGGACGCGCCCCTCGGGGTAGACGCACTGGCCCACCCATGGCCTAGAGTGCTCCTGTATGCTTTTCCTCCCCTGTGCCTGATATTCCCACATTGGCCAGGGTGAGAGAGCAGGGCCTGTCTCTCATTCTGATAGCACCCAGATGGCCCAAAGCACCGTGGCTGGCGGAGATAATCCCTCTGTTATACGCCGAGCCATTGTGCCTTCCCGTTCGCACGGATCTATTATCCCAAGCCAACGGTGAGATTTACCACCCCCAGCCGGACAGGTTGGCTCTCTGGGCCTGGCCCGTGAGAGGACGAACCTGAACGCACTTGGGCTTTCGCCGCGTGTGGTCACCACTATTCAGAATGCCAGGGCCGTCTCTACACGGCCCTTATATGGCTGTAAGTGGCAAGTGTTCGAGGGGTGGTGCGATGGGCGCGGTTTCACATCTTATCAGTGTTCAGTTCCTGATATTTTGTGTTTCCTTCAAGACCTCATGGATAAAGGCAGGTCCTTTTCCACCATTAAGGTCCACTTGGCTGCTATTTCAGCCTGTCATGTGGGTTTTGAGGGCTCGACCGTCGGTCAGCACCCTCTAATCCGTAGTTTTATGAAGGGTGCACGCCGCTCTTTGCCAGTCGTCAGGAGAACTGTCCCGGAGTGGGACCTCTCCATGGTGCTGGAAGCTCTGTCTCAACACCCTTTTGAGCCTTTGGATAGTATATCCCTTAAGCTGCTGTCTCTCAAGACAGCTTTGCTTTTGGCCTTGGCATCTGCTAAACGTGTCAGTTAGCTACATGCACTCTCGGTTCATCCTTCGTGCTCTAGTTCTCTCTTAGTGGAGATAAGGTCTTCCTTAAGCCTAACCCGGCCTTCATGCCGAAGTGCTTCCCTGCGTTCACTTCGGAGGTGTTGGAGCTGTCCGCTTTTCACCCTCCACCTTTTTACCTCTCTAGAGGATCAGAGGCTGAACGCTCTGTGTCCAGTCCGTGCCTTACAGGCATTTATGACCAGGACGAATGCTTTCCGGAAGAGCGACCAGCTCTTTGTTTCATGGGCTCCCCCTCACTTAGGGAGTCCAATTTTGAAGCAACGCCTCTCACATTGGGTTGTGGATGCTATTACCATGGCTTACAAAGCAAAGAGAGTGCAGCCCCCTAGGGGCATCAGAGCTCATTCCACAAGAGGTTTAGCCACCTCTTGGGCTCTGTTTAGGGGAGTGTCACTGCAGGACTTCTGCTCCGCTGCCAGTTGGGCTTCTCCTCATACCTTCGTGCGCTACTACCGGCTGGATGTCACCAGTACCTCGGTAGCACATTCGGTTCTAGGGGTCGGGTCGTCTTAGCCCCTCCCTGCTGTAACCCTGTTGGTATATATATACCATTAAGAGTGAATGGGCTGACTGGCCATGTTCATTCCTGCCACCTATCATTTCTTCCCCTTTCGGGTATAGATTATGTCTTGGTGGGTTGGGGTTACTATCTCGCATGTGTCCCATGCGTATTTCATGTCCTGCTTGTCCACATTAGTTAGGTGTGGTTCACCATCGCAGGCTCATGATTAAGGGACGTGTCAGGCACCGCCTCCCTGAGGTGACCGTCCTTCTCTGGCTTCAGAACCTCACTGTGAGTGTATTGGGCAATCGGGGAGCTGTCCATGTCTCTCCCATAGGTGGATCTCGAACACGAGATGATGAAAGAGAACAATAGGTTACTGTCGTAACCCCGGTTCTCTGAAACATCGAGTGGAGAGATCCACCAGCTTTGCCCCGCTTGCCGCACGAGAAGCGAATATACTTACTGAGGAATAGCAGCGCGCCCAGATGTTATATGCCCGTGGGTGAGGGGTGTGGCCTCATCGGGCACTGGCCGCGCGCTTCTGTCTGTCTAGCCAGACTTGGTGCAATTGGATGCTTCTGCAGAGGTCAGGTACGGATGCCCTTCCCATAGGTGGATCTCTCCACTCGATGTTTCAGAGAACCGGGGTTACGACAGTAACCTATTGTTATGATTGCCCTTATTTAATTAAAAACTGGGCCAATGACCCAACCAAATGGCCGGAGGTGTCGTTTCCAGACTATTATATCTGGTTGAATCTTCAGGTAAGACATCGCGGAAGCTACCGGCAACACAAGCCTGTAACTCAATCAACTTGCGTATAAGTTACTATAAGTCCATAAAACCATGTCACTTACCAATTGTACGTATGCTTCACTCCAAACTATTAATCCTTTTGTAAAACGGTGATCAAAGTAGTCGCTACGAAGTTGCAGAGGGACTTTGCTGACAGTTATCCGAATTCTCACAGACTGCAGTCTGATAACCTTCAGCTGATAACGCTAATAACATCCCTTATGAAAAACAACTAAAGGAATCTTGTAGTATTTTAGGACAAACTATTATAGTAACGTTAATCCTATAGGAATACTATAGTATTTTGGGACATAGCCTAGAAGTATAGGTATTAATGAACATCACAGAAGTATTATACACTACTATAGAATACTAATAGCCATAGGATTACTATAGTTCTTTTTCGTAAGGGACGTAACGTCAGACAAATCTGGCCCACTGCCTAATACGAGTTAAACATCTACTACTATATCACACAGGGACCTCTACTCACACAGTAATCTAATAAGATATGATTAATTTTGCCATTTTGTCCTCCTATCCGGTTCTGCATGTATGTAAGAAAGGCTGTAGAACTTCAATTTGTAATTTGTTAGTTTATTGGTGGTACAGAAAACGACACCGCAACCCTTCGGCATGATTGTCCCATGTATTTCAATGAGCGCCAAGGCAATGATTTCCCCCACGGGCTAAATTCACACCACGTGACGGGGCGTTCCCGGGGGCGTTCCCAGACCAACCGACTGTATCTATTTCGACCTTATTTTAAAAGGAAAGGCCTGTTTACACCAAGGATGATAACGATAAAGATGTAAGTTAGTTCCAAAAATATAAAAGAGTATAACAGCACAGATAAAGGATATCATTTGAATCAACTGATGTATGAACAATAAAAACAATGACAGCAAATCAGAATCATACTGTGGATCCTAACAAAATAGCCAATGTAAAATTTTGATTTTCTAATGTATAAACAAAACTAGAAAACGGTTCTCCTCACAAGATCCACTTCTGATTGATTCAGATTTTTTTTTTAAATAATTGGTTAAATTTAAATATCTGACTTAAAAACAACAACACAGATATAGTTAGTGTATCTATATTTAATTATCATTGATTTATTAATATTACTTATCTTAGATAATTATAAAAAACGTCCCTTACGAAGGTGAAAATGTCCAGGGGGCATGTTTAAAAAATATGTTGGTTTTATTTATTTTTCCACAAGTTATGAAAATGTTATTCCCTGAACGTTCAAAATGGTGTAGTTCATTCATTAAATGTTTCAAAAACTTTTTTTGTGTGTGTGGTTATACATTCCATTTTATAATTTTGCGAACATTATGGGATTGTTACTTTGAAATGTTCTCTAGTAGTAGTGACATTTAAAAATGTTAGATGAACATCCAACGTTGAAAAAAAAATGTTTTTTGTGCTGAAAACATTATTAAAGGCCAGATAACCTTGAAATAACTGTAATAATCTTTGAGAAAACCGTCCTATTAGCTTGGAAAGTTAATCTCTGACGCTAGCACTTCCTGAGAGGATGTGTCCAAGTGTGTGAACAACTGTATGCATGTTAACTAGCGCGTCCGCTTCTTCAGACTCATCGAGCCGATGGATCTGGAGAAAGCCGTGGACTTGTACCAGAAGGCCGCGTCTGTGTTCGAGGTGAGCAAACACCAACGGGATTGATGCGTTTAGCACTGTGAATCCTATCAGAAATCTATTTGTTGTGTATATTCATGCATAACCTGTGATGTGTTCAGAATGAAGATCGTCTCAGACAGGCCGCAGAGCTTCTGGGTAAATCCTCCAGACTTCTGGTGAGACTGCGCAGGTGCGTCCAAAAGCATGTTATGATCTCATTTACAATTACAGTTTTACTTTCTTTTAGGGTCTGCTAGAATATATTTACATGATTTAAAGTTCATGTTTTTCATTTTACATACCGTTGAATTATTAAAAAAAACATTGGCCATTAGCACTGATCTATATATAGAACTGGATTGCTCATGATGTCCTAAAAGAGAAGAAATTTTGTTATTCTGTATGTTCAATTCATGGTCCACGAAAGTCCCAATGTGTGTGACCCGATGTGTTTTACTGTCCCCAGGTTGGACGAGGCCGCTGTGTCCCTCCAAAAAGAGAAGAACATGTACAAGGAGATTGAGAACTACCCCACCTGCTTTAAGGTGCAAATACTGACATTCACCTGAAACTGATCTTTTGGACGAGGTCATGTCACACACCAGTCCACGTTGGCATCCGTCTAATTTGACAAGCGTCTTCCCATTGAGAAATTCATGAACTTTTGCATTCGTGTCCAAATATTGAATAGATGTTTTATATAGTTATTGTCATCTGCAGAAAACCATCGCTCAAGTGCTGGTCCATCTTCACCGAGTTGACTTTGTTGCTGCAGACAAGTGTGTCAGAGAAAGTTACAGGTACAAACCAGTCCCACAAATCCACTGCATTATCCATGATCAGAATGAAATGTGGTGTTGTTCCCTCGCTTCAGTCTCCCAGGGTTCAGTGTGAGTGAGGACTGCGTGTCTATGGAGACGTTACTGGCGGCGTATGACGAGCAGGACGAGGACGAGGTGTCACGTGTCTGCAACTCACCTTTACTCAAGTACATGGACAATGATGTGAGTGCGAGACCTCATTCTTCATATGCTCACCACAGCTCAGTATTTGGGCTGAAACCATAAACAACAATTAAAAATATTCTGCGTAAACAAAATAAAAAATAACAATCATATATTAATATATATATATATAATTCATATTAATTTTTTTAAGTTTAAAAATTCATCTCTTATGTTTTCCAAGTCTGGATTTATTTGATCAAAAATACAGTAAAATCAGTAATATTGTGAAATATTATTATATAATATACGTATATATATAATAGAATTATAATATAAATGTTACCCATAAATGATAACATTAACTTGGATTTTGTGTTTTTTCTTTTCTTTATTCCACTTGTGTAGAACTCACAATGTACACATAAGTGTGTGTGCGCGCGGTCAAACTGTAAATACAAACAATTCACATTTAGTATCCAGTAATGTTTTCACTTCTCCAAATCAGTTTCTATAACATAACATCAGCTTAGATGATAAACATTAAAGTATATATACATTTATAAATCAAAGATATTCCCTACAATGCAAATATCACACGTGGTAGACTATGTAGCGTATTAAACATTATCACATAGTCAATAAACTATCAATACAGATTTCTAAACAGTCGCTGTATTATAAACACCTATTAAACTTTGTAAATGCTACAGATATTGCATATATATTTAAAATAGGCAATTTAAACTAAAATGTCTATCCAAACATAATAAACAAACTAGCATTAGGCGTTTAGGCGCTAATCACAAATAGCGATCTACATAGTGCTTTTATCAATATACTTAGATCAACAACATGTGACTTACCACGCTGGGAATATATAGTTTAGATTAAGGTCTTAGTTGTAATTGTTGTAGAACATTAGAAAGTCTGCAAATGAGCATCAACATTGCTTTCTCACTCAGTTCGGTTCAGTTCCGTTTTTTTTTTACGCGATCACATGGGCCCACAGAATCAACGTCCTTAAAGGGGCAGCACCCTACATCCCGGCCCCAATGACCCAAACAGGTCATTCAAAACAAAGTAAGGGGGTGATGTGACAATTAAACTAAATCAACTAAGAAGACTGGCTTCTAGGAGGCAGATCTTGTCTGCAGGACGGATGAAGACACCTGCCTGTGTTTTCACTTCCACAGTACGCACAAGTCCGTCTGCACCTGGATAGACTTGAGTAAGCAGACCTAAAGGCCAGTGATTGCGTGGTGTGTTCTCATGCAGAATAAGCACAAGATCTCCTACTTGCAGATTTTTCTTTGGTTGCAGCCATTTTTGGCGTTGTTGCAGTGCAGGCAAGTATTCCTTGAGCCATCTGCACCAGAAGACATCTGCCAGATATTGCACCTGGCGCCATCTGCGTCGGTAAAGGTCTTGTTTTACGAAGGCTCCCGGAGGTAGAGTTGGACCTGAACGAAGCAACAACAGATGATTTGGGGTGAGTGGTAGAGGATCTGACGGGTCGTCTGATAGTTTAGTGATGGGTCTACCATTGACAATTGACTCAACGCAGCAAAACAGTGTTGCCAAACCTTCATCATCTGGTGCCTGCTGTGAGAGAACAGTGTTAAGAATGGAACGAACAGTGCGAATTTGCCTCTCCCAAACACCACCCATGTGGGAGGCGGCAGGTGGATTGAAGATCCACTTTACATTGTGCTGTAGCAGGTAATCTGAAATCCTTTGTTGATTCCACTCACTGATGGCTTTCCGCAACTCTCGTAATCCACCGACAAAATTAGTCCCGTTATCTGATCGTATTTCCATGGGTGGGCCTCTCCTGGAGATAAATCGCTGTAAGGCGTTGATAAACGAGTCAGTATCGAGTGAGTGTGCAACTTCCAAGTGGATAGCTCTTGTAGTGAGACATGTAAACAAGCATCCGTACCTCTTGAGCTCACTGCGTGCCTTCTTAACAATGAATGGCCCGAAGTAGTCTGTGCCCACACGAGTGAATGGAGGCTCACCTGGTGTCACTCTAGAATCAGGTAAGTCCGCCATTTGCTGGGTTTGTGGCTTAGCTCTTAACTTGCGACACTGAAGACATGACTTGAGAGTTCGGTTAATGACAGGACGTCCCTTTAGAATCCAGAAACGTTGACGAGTTTCTGCAAGTACTCGCTCTGGACCTGCATGACCCAGGCGAAGATGATAGTGATTAATAATCAGATTGGTGACGTGATGATTGTTAGGTAGGATCACTTGATGTTTTGCCTCAAATGGAATTGGGGCATTTGTTAGTCTGCCTCCCACACGAAGGAGTTGGTTGTTTTCATCCTCAAAGGGTTTAAGCTTGAGAAGAGCACTGGGTTTTGCTCGAGAAGATCCGAAGGATGCAGTTTGTATGTAATTGAGAATGGCTGATTCTGCTTGTTGGAGCTCACTTACAGTAAGAGGGTCGGATAGATGCACACTTGATTTCTTGCGTAACAAAGCCTTGAGACGCAACAGGATAGCAGTAGCCCTTTTCAATCGATGCCAACTGGAGTATCGTTCCAGTAGTCTGTCCACTGCATTTTTCATCACTTGGTTTGGTTTTATGCTAGCTGCATAGACCTGTTTGGCTCTTTTAATTTCTGCTTCCTCTGGTAAATCATTTATGATAGGTTGAGCAGGCCAATGTTCCTCCTCAAGTTGAAGAAAGTGCGGACCAGATACCCATCGTTCACTCGACAAAATCTCTCCCATAGTCATTCCTCGAGAGACATCATCCGCAGGGTTAGAAGCAGAGTCAATGTGTCTCCACTGGCATGGTTCAGAACGCTCATGTATTTTTGAAATACGGTTCGCTACGAAAGTCTGGAAACGACAATGCTTGTTGTTGATGTACTGAAGTACAATGGTACTATCTGTCCAAAAGAAAGTCTTTTCGATTGGAATCTCCAAGTGGCACTTGATATGCTGGTCCAGCTCCGTAGCAACTACAGCTGCAAGTAGCTCCAGACGCGGTATGCTAACTGGCTTGATTGGCGCCAGTCTGGCCTTTGACATCACCAGCCTGCAGGTGTCGCCAATCCTGATGTATGAAACAGCGCCGTAAGCCAGTTCCGAAGCGTCGGAAAAGTGATGGAGCTGGGTTGCTAGCAAACAACTAGCAGATGTTGGTCTAAGACATCTTGGAATTTTCAGCGCAGACAACAGAGGCAAGTCATCTAGCCATCTATGCCACTGTGCTGCTAAGTCCACCGGTAACCCCTCATCCCAGTCGACTTTCATGCGGCACAACTCTTGAAAGATTGCCTTTGCTTTGAGCACGAATGGACTTGCAAATCCTAAAGGATCATAGATGGAACTGGTGGTGCTCAATACTCCTCTCTTTGTTGCAGGTTTGTCCACTGCCTTGACATCAAATGTGAAGCAATCTCTTTCAACATCCCAAAGGACACCCAGTGTTCGTTCAAATGGCAAATCCTCCTGGTCAAGGTTGACCTCATGTAATGACTTTGCCCAATCATCAGCTGGTATCGATTTCATCACTTCCTTAGAATTGCTTAACCATTTGGTTAATCTAAAGCCTCCACAGGTACCGACTTAAGACAATCGTCGACATAGAAATTTCGTTTCAATGTTTCCACGGTGTCATTAGAGAAGCTTCCACGGTTGTCTTCAGCCACTCGTTGCAAGGCAAAATTGGCAGCGCTAGGACTCCAGACGCCTCCAAAAAGGTGAACCATCATACGGTAATGCTTGGGTGGTTTATCCGGGTCATTATCCTCCCACCACAGGAAGCGAAGCACATCTCTTTCATCAGATGGCACTCGGACTTGATAAAACATGCTCTCGATGTCTGCATTCAGAGCAACAGGTTCTTGCCTAAACTTGAGAAGGACTCCTAGCAGCTTATTGGTAAGGTCTGGGCCTTGGTAAATATGATCATTCAACGAAGTACCTTGGTACCGTGCTGCACAATCGTAGACAATACGAACCTTTTCCGGCTTGCGCGGATGTAGCACCGGATGATGTGGCAGGTACCACACACAACCATCGTCTCTGTTAATGTCAATGACTTCTTCTGCATATCCTTTCAGCAAAGAGTCTCTGATACCTTCTGTATACTTGTGATGCAAAATCGGGTCCTTCTTTAACCTCTTTCCAAGAAGGTCTAATCGATGTTTGGCTATTCCGTAGTTATTGGGCAGTCGTGGTGGATGTTCTTTGAAAGGGATTGGTAGTGTGTAATGACCTTCCTCTTTGACAGCTTGCTTGTTCCATAGATCAACAACTTGCTCATCGACTACTGACAGCGAGTCATTGTTCACGTGCACTGGATCATCAAGTTTCCAAAATCTTTCAACAGCTTGTTGTAGAGAGTGGTCAGTTTGAATGAAATTGGCAGAAACAGATGTTGAACCATCAGCTACTGGCCCATGAAGTGTCCACCCCAGGCCAGTTAGTATCGCATAGGGTTCGCCTGACTCACCGCAGCGTGTTTCACGAGGGGCGAGTATGTCTGGTTGGTCTAGACCTATCAGCAGGTGAACCTCATCAGCTAGATCAATGTCAGGTAAACTGATTTCATCAGCAATTTCCTTCAAGTGTGGCCACTGGAACACCTCAAGCTGTGTGACCAAGTTGTCTAGACTTATGTTCAGATGATCCCGACAGAGCACTCCTTTCATCAGGTAAGAGTTTTTTTGTTGAGCATCTTCAACTCGTAGGTCCACCGCTAAGGTGACTACGTTGAGATTTTTGGTCTCCATGGTGTTCAGTTTAATGTTCATTTTGCGTGACTCCAGTTTAAGTGCGTGAACTAACTTCTTAGAAGCAAAGGTCCCATTAGAGCCACTGTCAAGCAAAGCAAAGACATTCATAGAGAATCTGTTGTGTCTGTCTGAAACCACTACAGGCACGATGGGAAGTGCAATCTTCTTTCGACTGGCTTCAATGCACTTTCTGGTGGCATGTGCTTGAATGGCTTGAGGCGGGTCAGCAGTAGGCTCACCTCCAGTAGCTTGATTAGTAGATTGGATGTTGTCAACGTTGTTAGAAGCTACAATGGCGGAGTGCAGCCAACTGTTGTGTTTTTTCCCACATCCAGGCACCTTGCATACCCAAGTGCGAGTACAGACCGTGCTGCGATGACCTTTCATGAAACAGTTCAGACAGAGTTGCTTTTGTTGAACAAAGGCCAACCGCTCTTGAACAGACAGAGCTCTGAAGGCTTGACACTGGTTCAGAAAGTGTCCGTCAGTGCACTTTGGACACTTAAATCTTGGTGTTGGTTTTGGTGTGGATGAGGTGGTGGATTCATTAGTAACTGACACAGTTGCAAATGTCTGCTTTTTCTTATTGAAAGTTGACTTAGTACTTGGTTTAGAATTTGCTGGAGAATTTCGACTGGCAGAGCTAAGGAGATTCCCAAAGATAGGATCTGCTCTCTTTGCAGCTTCTGATTGAACAAGACTGACTATGTCATCTAACTTTGGCAAATGACCAGACTTGATGATCTCATAGTTTATTGTGAGCCACCTTTTCTTTATGTCTTCGGGTAGCTTTTCCACAATTTGTAGCAAAGTGCGTCCACCATTTAGCTCTTCCTCACACTTCATTGCCTTTAAAGTGTCTCGGCAGCTGCACAGAATGTCCGCGAAGCTTTGCAACTGCTTGTTGTCTTTGATATCTTTGTGATTAAGCACCTTGTCAACCCATGCTTGCGATATTGCATATGGATTGCCAAAACGTCTCTTTAGAATAGCCATGGCTTCAGCATAGCCGAAGCTAGAGTTGGGGTTGTACAAGCAATGTGAGATAGCATCTCTAGCTTGGCCGACAGTGTACTGATGCAGGCGAGTGAGTTTCTCTTGATCTGGCACTGTCTCTTTATCAATCACAGAGGAGAACAATCTCATGAACTGCCAGTACTTTAAGGGTTCTCCATCGAACTTGATGATGTCAACTGGTGGTAGATGCATGGAATCGATGTGTGACTGATATTGTTGCCTAGACAGGTCTAGTAGTTGGCATAAAGAACTCTCATTCACTGCTGAAAGTGAGGAACGAAAGTTGATGGATGCGTTACCTGAGACAGGAGTAGAAAAGTCTTTATTTATTGTTGTTAACTCAGCCTTTCGACGATTTTCCTCCATCTCAGCATCTTTGAGTTTCAGTAAACCTTTCAGGCCATCCACTTCCAATTTTGCATGTTGAAGTTGTAATTTAAACTCTGCACGCAGGCGTTCTTCCTGTCGAGCAATAAGCCTGGAAAACTCTTCTTTTTCTTTCTGTCTTAGATTTTGTAGCCCTTGAAGCTGGGTAGACAGCTGGTCTACAGAAGACATTGGAGATTTAACGGCTTCATCAAACTTGACTCTTCCACTTGACTCTTCGCCTGACTCTTCCTCGCCTGACTCTTCCACTTGGAAATGAAGTGCATCTGAAGATTCTATGTTTGGATCCTCCATTGATGGCTTAAAGTCATCAAACCAGCTCAAGACTGTGTGCTGCAAGTCTTGAACATCACGCAGGACCGATGTTAAATAGCCCTTAGAAGCATCGACGTCATCATCATCTTCTAATGTTTTATGGTACATGTCATGAATCTCATTAAACCGTATAACCGCCTCCTCCAAAGCAGGAAGTTTCATCTCCACTTCCTTGGGCTGGTTACAGTTCATTGAAGTTGTAATCTGTGTCATCAAGCGTGTCACTGCAGCCTTTGCACTTCCACGTTGACGCTTCAGACATTTTTGTTGTTGATCAGGAGTAACACTTGTTTCTGAATCTTGGTCCATGTTGTCATTAATCTTCTTAACTCCTCGTGTTTGACTTTAATGTTACCCATAAATGATAACATTAACTTGGATTTTGTGTTTTTTCTTTTCTTTATTCCACTTGTGTAGAACTCACAATGTACACATAAGTGTGTGTGCGCGCGGTCAAACTGTAAATACAAACAATTCACATTTAGTATCCAGTAATGTTTTCACTTCTCCAAATCAGTTTCTATAACATAACATCAGCTTAGATGATAAACATTAAAGTATATATACATTTATAAATCAAAGATATTCCCTACAATGCAAATATCACACGTGGTAGACTATGTAGCGTATTAAACATTATCACATAGTCAATAAACTATCAATACAGATTTCTAAACAGTCGCTGTATTATAAACACCTATTAAACTTTGTAAATGCTACAGATATTGCATATATATTTAAAATAGGCAATTTAAACTAAAATGTCTATCCAAACATAATAAACAAACTAGCATTAGGCGTTTAGGCGCTAATCACAAATAGCGATCTACATAGTGCTTTTATCAATATACTTAGATCAACAACATGTGACTTACCACGCTGGGAATATATAGTTTAGATTAAGGTCTTAGTTGTAATTGTTGTAGAACATTAGAAAGTCTGCAAATGAGCATCAACATTGCTTTCTCACTCAGTTCGGTTCAGTTCCGTTTTTTTTTTTACGCGATCACATGGGCCCACAGAATCAACGTCCTTAAAGGGGCAGCACCCTACAATAAAATTATTATATAAATATATTATATATATATATATATATATATATATATATATATATATATGAAGAGTTCAGATGCAAAAGCCTCTAAGTGCCATTTGAAATTTTCTTCTAGAATGATCATTTTTATCAAGCTTGTATATTTAAGTTCAGTAATTTCACTTAAATGGCAATGATAATTACCTATTAATTGTTGTTTAAGTGAAATTACTGAACTTAAATATACAAGTTTGACAAAAATCATCATTAAAGAAGAAAATTTATATATATATATATATATATATATATATATATATACTGTATATATATATATGTAAAAGAATTAAAATTTAAATTTGATATAGATTTTATATTGTAATATATTTATTTTAGAATGTAAATTATTCATCTGATGCAAATCTGAATTTTCAGCAGCCATTACATTTCATTTATTTGAGATTAACATTGTAAATATCATTTTTGATCAATTTAAAGCATCCTTGCTCAATAACTGTATTAATTTCTTAAAGCACTAGTTCACTTTTAAAAAAAATTTTGCTGATAATTTACTCACCCCCATGTCATCCAAGATGTCCATGTCTTTCTTTCTTCAGTCGAAAAGAAATTAAGGTTTTTGATGAAAACATTCCAGGATTTTCTCCATATAATGGACTTCAATGGGGTCCAAACGGTTCAAGGTCCAAATGAGAGTTTCAGTGCAGCTTCAAAGGGCTTTAAACGACACCAGACGATGAATAAGGGTCTTATCTAGCGAAACGAGCTGTCATTTAAAAAATAAATACAAAAGTTTACGTTTTATAAGCACAAATGCTCGCCTTGCTCTGTTCTATGATACTCATTCATCAAAATGAACAAATCTTTTTTCGAGTCATTTCATTTGTTAAATGAACCAAATGACTCAAAAAAAGATTTGTTTGTTTTTGATGAATGAGTGCCAAACGCGCATCACAGAACAGAGCAAGGTGAGTAAAAAATCAGCAAAAGTTTTTTTTAAAGTGAACTACTCTTTTAACGATATATATTTTACTGACCCCGAACATTCGAACAGTTTTTGATGAACCAAAGCTTTTAGATTTACTGTTGCTTCAAAAAAAATCTCACAAATGAAATGATCGGCCTGTCTGACGTATCAGTCCAGTAGTAATAAAAAGCGACTGTGTTCATGCAGTACGCCAAGCTGGCCATCTCTCTGAAGGTGCCGGGTGGAGTCAGCGGGAAGAAGAAGAAAACTCCTGCTGCTCCTCAAGGGGGCAGTGCTGGACCAGCGCAAGAGCAAGACGACGATTACGAGGGAGGTTTGTGTTAACTGAGGGAACAGCCCGACTATCTGTGTGCGCGTGTGTGTGTGTGTGTGTGTGAGAGAGTTAACGAGTATCTTAAGTGTTTCCTCCCTTTGTGCAAAGTGGAGTCATTCCTTAGGAATTCTCTTCCTGTGGGAGGGTCCGGTTTTCTGTGCGTTTACACATCAGACACTCATAATCTTACAAGCACAGGCTGTGAGTGTGGACATCGGTTCAACATAATTAATGCTGAAGAGGTTCATCTCTCTGCCACTATCTGCACCAGTGATGATGCGTTTTTGGAGTTGGCTCGAATAACTCGATATCAGAGCTCGACAAAAACCTAAACTGGCTTTTGGATTATTGCATAAAATAAGCGGTCACTAATCAAAGTGCGTTTATGTTACTATGATTTTTTACATCAAAAACAATAATTTAGACAAAAATACAAGGCCATGATTTCAACAGTTTTAAGGGGCGTGTCTGCTGCAAGGTTATAGTTTTGCAATTTTCATTCACAAATTCAGTTTAGTTTAAATTCTAAAACGTTTTTAAAGTGGGTTTGCTAGTTTAGTTTAGTTTTTATTTTTTGAAAATGCTATTTTTGCTTTTTTTTAACGCTATTCAAATTTAAAATCTAATGCTATTTTTAAATTAAAACTAATTTTAATTGAGTTTTTATTCTTTTTTTTTTTGTAGTTTGGGTTATTTGTCAGGGGCAAGATTAGGGTTGGGGATCGAGAATCGAGTATCGATTGGAACCGAGACTAACTTTTCGTTTTTTGTCCCGGAATCGTTCAAAAGTTAAAATTTCGATTCCTGGTTTCGATATTCACAGTCCACCGAGCGGAAGAAGAAACCGCTGAACAACACCAACGAAGAAGCGTCTACCGGAAGTGTTGGCATAACCACGTGAGTCGAACATGAGTAGCTTACGTCGGCGATCCAAAGTGTGGCTTCACTTTTCTAAAAATAACGAAATCTCGGCAAAATGCAAAACTTGTGACAAAAGGAGTATTTTTACAGAAGGAGTATTTCCTTCAGAAAGGCCGTTGGTTAGCGAGGTTAGCTAAACTTTTTTGACCCTGTCTCTTAAAAGAATCGGAATCGAGAATCGTTAGGAACCGGAATCGAAACAAGGAATCAGAATCGGAATCGTTCAAATTCAAACAATACCCAACCCTAGGCAAGATTCAAAAAGGTCAGAAAAAGAATTGTGAAATACAGAAGTTACACACACTTGTCTTCCATTGGTCAATCAAATGGATAGTCCCGCCCCAAACCTCGCACCATTGGTTGAACCGGTGTTCCACTCAGTTGAACTGATTGAAATATAATTTCGATGCTGCTTAGTGGTGCAGAAATGTAAAGACAGTCTTAGACAATAAGCACTGATGTATCTGTGATCATATTGTTGTACAATATACATTTAGAAATGTTTTATTTTATTTTAGTAAGAAAAATATGTAGTCGTGTGTACAGAATCTGTCGATTATTTTTATTTGTGAACAGTCTGTGATGTCAAAGTGATTGATAAAGTTTGTAAAATATTAAGTAATTTTCCACCATGTACAGTAACTTATTTTAAGTGTTGTTGAAATTATCGCTGTCGAGTGAGGTGTCATTCTGCGTTTTCAAATAAACAACCTGGCAGACTACTACAACGATGCAAAAAATACATAATAAAAATCACGATCTATATGCTGTTTGGCTGTGTGCTGCTAAAGGGGTTTTCCTGTGGATTTACAACAGAAATTAGGAAAGATAATAAAGCCATGGTTATCATTGGTGACCAAAATTAAAACCACAAAGAGACATTTTTATAAAGTATTATTTGCCTCTGAACAAGTTTTATTTATTGTACACACACAGCTCTCCTTGTGCACAATATCATCATCCTTTATATTAAATCCAATAGTATGTTAATGCATTAATTGATGTGAAAGGTTTGCTCTGACAAAATCCCTGTTTTACATTGCATTTAAAAGGATTGTATTTGTTTAGTTGTAAGTAATATCAAAAGTTTGGGGTCAGTGAGGTTTTTAAATATTTTTGAAGGAAGTCTCATACCCACCAAGGCTATATTTATATGAGAAAAAAATAGAGTAAAAACAGTGAAATATTATTAATGTTTAAAATACCTTTTATATTTGAATATAATGTAAAATGTAATTTATTCCTGTGATCAAAGCTGAATTTTACTCAACACTCCAGTCTTCAGTATCACGTGATCCTTCAGAAATCACTCTAATATGATGAGATCAACATTTTTCATGATTATCAATGTAGAAAACGGTTTCATATTTTGTTGAAAAAATCGTACAAACCCCAATCTTTTGAATGGTAGTGTACATGAAAAAAAGAAAGAAAGAAATACAGGCAACAAAAGCCATGTGTTTAATCGTGTGCTTTATTTGAAGTCAATAAACTCCCATTTCCTGTTTCATCCAGGTACAGTTTTCTTTTTCAGTAAAAGCTCTGCACACACAAGTTAATGAAAGCGTTTCATGTCAAACATTATTAATTTTTTTTTCATTCATGCTACATTGTCTTTAATGCATAGTTCAGAGATGGACTCAAAACAATATTCTCCTCAAGCATCACCACAACACGATCCATAGCGCGGAGCTCACGTCGATAGTCATATTGAACATGATCCGATCGTAAATCTACAGCCTAGCGGAGACTCCAGCGGTATATCCATGAGATCCTGATCCATAGAAAGCTCTTTCCTGAGTATGGCTGCCAAAGGTGTACAATAAAAATGGATTTCATGTCATGACCCCGCCTGTCGTATTGCTCAAAGTACGTAGTACAAATGTGAGTCAAGTTATTCCCCATGTACAAACAACTTTCTGATGAGCACAACTCCCAGGCCTGGCGAAGCGTAATCTACTGGAGCGATCTCTCATGCCTTCAAGGATTTAGTGTACCTGTTAATAACTAATGTTCATGATTCACTTTCACCACAAGTCAAACGTCTTAACTAAAAGCATATCTAACCTAAAACGCTATTTTTTTCTGACTAAAACCCAATGACCAGAACACATTTCTGTTAAGTGTTGCATTGTGAAAAAGTAACAATGGTTTAGCTAACAATTTGCTCATATTCAATTAATTTATGCCAACAAATATCTGTGTAAATCATTAACGAAATGAGATTCATGAGTAAAATTCAAATTCACAATACATTCACAATTCGTATATACATTTTGTGTGTAAATAATGAATAAAATCACTTGGATTTATGAAGAAATGTACACAAACACATTCAAAATGAGTTGAGAACTAATTTCTGTATACATAATTTAAAATCACTTGGATTTATAAAGAATTGTACACAGAAATACATTCAAAATTGGTTCTGAACAAATATATGGGTAAATAATTCATAAATTCACTTGGATTTCTATAGAAATGTACACTGAAACTTAGTTTTGAAAAAAAATGTGTAAAAATTTCATAAAATCATTTGGATTTAGGAAGAAATTTACACAAACACATTCAAAATTAATTCCGAACAAATTTCTGTGTAAATAATTCATAAAATCACTTGGATTTATGAAGAAATGTACACAGAACTACATTCAAAATTAATTTTAGACAAATTTATGGGTAAATCATTCATAAACTTACTTGGATTTATAAAGAAATGTACACAGAATTACACTGAAACTTAATTTTGAAACAAATTTGTGTAAATAATTCATAAAATCACTTGGATTTATGAAGAAATGTACACAGAATTACACTGAAACTTAATTTTGAACAAATTTGTGTAAATAATTCATAAAATCATTTGGAGTTATGAAGAAATGTACACAGTAGTACACTGAAACTTAGTTTTTAACCAAATTTGTGTAAATAACTCATAAAATCACTTGGATTTATGAAGAAATGTACACAGAATTACACTGAAACTTAATTTTGAACAAATTTGTGTAAATAATTCATAAAATCACTTGGATTTATGAAGAAATGTACACAGAATTACACTGAAACTTAATTTAACAAATTTGTGTAAATAATTCATAAAATCACTTGGATTTATGAAGAAATGTACAGAGAATTACACTGAAACTTAATTTTGAACAAATTTGTGTAAATAATTCATAAAATCACTTGGATTTATGAAGAAATGTACAGAGAATTACAATGAAACTTAATTTTGAACAAATTTGTGTAAATAATTCATAAAATCACTTGGATTTATAAAGAAATGTACGCAGAATTACACTGAAACTTAATTTTGAACAAATTTGTGTAAATAATTCATAAAATCACTTGGATTTATGAAGAAATGTACACAGAATTACACTGAAACTTAGTTTTGAACAAATTTGTGTAAATAATTCATAAATTCACTTGGATTTCTATAGAAATGTACACTGAAACTTAGTTTTGAAAAAAAATGTGTAAAAATTTCATAAAATCATTTGGATTTAGGAAGAAATTTACACAAACACATTCAAAATTAATTCCGAACAAATTTCTGTGTAAATAATTCATAAAATCACTTGGATTTATGAAGAAATGTACACAGAACTACATTCAAAATTAATTTTAGACAAATTTATGGGTAAATCATTCATAAACTTACTTGGATTTATAAAGAAATGTACACAGAATTACACTGAAACTTAATTTTGAAACAAATTTGTGTAAATAATTCATAAAATCACTTGGATTTATGAAGAAATGTACACAGAATTACACTGAAACTTAATTTTGAACAAATTTGTGTAAATAATTCATAAAATCATTTGGAGTTATGAAGAAATGTACACAGTAGTACACTGAAACTTAGTTTTTAACCAAATTTGTGTAAATAACTCATAAAATCACTTGGATTTATGAAGAAATGTACACAGAATTACACTGAAACTTAATTTTGAACAAATTTGTGTAAATAATTCATAAAATCACTTGGATTTATGAAGAAATGTACACAGAATTACACTGAAACTTAATTTAACAAATTTGTGTAAATAATTCATAAAATCACTTGGATTTATGAAGAAATGTACAGAGAATTACACTGAAACTTAATTTTGAACAAATTTGTGTAAATAATTCATAAAATCACTTGGATTTATGAAGAAATGTACAGAGAATTACAATGAAACTTAATTTTGAACAAATTTGTGTAAATAATTCATAAAATCACTTGGATTTATGAAGAAATGTACACAGAATTACACTGAAACTTAATTTTGAACAAATTTGTGTAAATAATTCATAAAATCACTTGGATTTATGAAGAAATGTACGCAGAATTACACTGAAACTTAGTTTTGAACAAATTTGTGTAAATAATTCATAAAATCACTTGGATTTATGAAGAAATGTACGCAGAATTACACTGAAACTTAATTTTGAACAAATTTGTGTAAATAATTCATAAAATCACTTGGATTTATGAAGAAATGTACGCAGAATTACACTGAAACTTAATTTTGAACAAATTTGTGTAAATAATTCATAAAATCACTTGGATTTATGAAGAAATGTACACAGAATTACACTGAAACTTAATTTTGAACAAATTTGTGTAAATAATTCATAAAATCACTTGGATTTATGAAGAAATGTACGCAGAATTACACTGAAACTTAATTTTGAACAAATTTGTGTAAATAATTCATAAAATCATTTGGATTTATGAAGAAATGTACGCAGAATTACACTGAAACTTAATTTTGAACAAATTTGTGTAAATAATTCATAAAATCACTTGGATTTATGAAGAAATGTACACAGAATTACACTGAAACTTAGTTTTGAACAAATTTGTGTAAATAATTCATAAAATCACTTGGATTTATGAAGAAATGTACACAGAATTACACTGAAACTTAATTTTGAACAAATTTGTGTAAATAATTCATAAAATCACTTGGATTTATGAAGAAATGTACACAAAATTACACTGAAACTTAGTTTTGAACAAATTTGTGTAAATAACTCATAAAATCACTTGGATTTATGAAGAAATGTACACAGAATTACACTGAAACTTAATTTTAAACAAATTTGTGTAAATAATTCATAAAATCACTTGGATTTATGAAGAAATGTACACAAAATTACACTGAAACTTAGTTTTGAACAAATTTGTGTAAATAACTCATAAAATCACTTGGATTTATGAAGAAATGTACACAGAATTACACTGAAACTTAATTTAACAAATTTGTGTAAATAATTCATAAAATCACTTGGATTTATGAAGAAATGTACACAAAATTACACTGAAACTTAGTTTTGAACAAATTTGTGTAAATAACTCATAAAATCACTTGGATTTATGAAGAAATGTACACAAAATTACACTGAAACTTAGTTTTGAACAAATTTGTGTAAATAATTCATAAAATCACTTGGATTTATGAAGAAATGTACACAGAATTACACTGAAACTTAGTTTTGAAAAAAATTGTGTAAACAATTCATAAAATCACTTGGATTTATGAAGAAATGTACACAGAATTACATTCAAAATTCATTCTGAACTAATTTCTGTGTAAAAAAATTCATTAAATCACTTTCAATTACAAAGAAATGCATGGAGAAACATTCAAAATTCGTCTGAATGAGGCAATAATCAAACAATAAACTGAGAGTTGCTGAAACGGATTCATTGTAATGTAATGTGATAATCTCCCTTCAGTTATGAAAAAATCATTATACCTCAAGCTTTCCCAAATCTGTGTTCATAAGTTATGGATGATCTCCTTAAAGTCCCGAAGGAGAAAAGCTATTACTGTTGAGACGTTCCTCTTCACTACTTTGTTGTACATGAGAAAAAAATGGTTGATATCCCGTTGTCGTGAAATGATCCGTATGTATTCCTGAGAAAGGTCGTGAATAATGATGTTTAGTTGATTGTACAAATGAAATAAGGCAAATAGAGATTGTCACATAATTCACAGCGCCACCTATAGGGCTTCGGTTCTGCTTCCTGCAAAACCGTTTTTGTCCCAGACCGAAGTCTAAAGCAGTATCAGTGTTTCCCGTCTATGTCGCATGCACTCCCAAAGGTCAAAGTCGTATTCAAAGTGGCGCATGCCTGGAAGCCCTGAAGTTCATCACTTGTCAAGCCCTTTAAACACTAGCGAGTGGGTGAAAACCGCACATAATGAGTGCTAATGTTTCATCAGTTAGCATGAAGAACAACTGTTCTCCGGTTCAATCCAACCGAATTGCAATTCCTGCTTTGTGCTTAGTTCCTCGTAAGCTCATCCTCACTCGCTCTTCTCTCTGGTCCACTTGATCATGGTTTCTGGAGAGCGGTAGAGGAAGATGAGCTTGGCGTACAGGTCTTCCTCCAGGTCCAGTTCTCCCGTCTCTCGGACCAGGAAGATGTCGGTGCAGAGCTTGAGGATTCGGTCCACGTTGGGAAGCTCTTCGAACATGATGGTGTGCGAGATCCCGCTGAAGAACTCTCGCACGAACTTTCCGATAACCAGAACCACCGACATGTAGAGACCCATGATTCTGTGCACACGCAGGTTACGTTTAACTCAACAAAGCACATGAATCACATACAGTTTCATCAAGTTCCTGTCAGACTGATAAAATCGTGTTCAATTTGGTTCAGATGGATATAATTAGGGATCAATGGAAGCTTTTTTCCGCCATGGAATGAAAAATAATAAAGGTAATTGCGACTTTTTATCTCACAATTCTGAGTTTTTTTCTCACAGTTGCAAGTTTACATCTCGCAATTCTGACTTTATATCAGAATTGCGAGATAGTCAGAATTGCGTGATTTAAAGTAAATACAGATATAAACTATTCTGAGGGGAAAAAGTTTGTCTTTTTTCCCTTAAAATTGGCCTGATAACTCGCAATTGCGAGTTTATATCTCACAATTCTGAGAAAAGATGTCAGAATTTCAAAATTATGTGCAATTATGTGTTATAAAGTCAGAATTGCGAGATGTAAACTCGCAATTGTGAGAAAAAAAAAGTCGGAATTGTGAGATAAAAAGTCTAAATTCTGTCTTTTTTTCACAATTGCGACTTTATTTCTCACAATTGTGACTTTATCTATCACAATTGTAACTTTATATCTCATAATTGAGACTTTATTTCTCATAATTGCGACTTTATGCAATTGCAACTTTATTTCTCATAATTGTGACTTTATCTCTCACAATTGTAACTTTATATCCCATAATTGAGACTTTATTTCTCATAATTGTGACTTTATTTCTTGCAATTGCAACTATTTCTAAGAATTGTGAATTTATATCTCGCAATGGCGACTTTATTCCTCATAATTGTGACTTTATATCTCGCAATTGCGACTATTTCTCAGAATTGCGACTTTATTTCTTGCAATTGCGACTATTTCTCAGAATTGTGACTATATCTCGCAATTGCGACTTTATTTCTCACAATTGCGACTTTATTTCTCAGAATTGCGACTTTATTTCTTGCAATTGCGACTTTATTTCTCAGAATTGCGACTTTATATCTCGCAATTGCGACTATAATTCTCAGAATTGTGACTTTATTTCTTGCAATTGCGACTTTATTTCTCAGAATTGTGACTATATCTCGCAATTGCGACTTTATTTCTTGCAATTGCGACTTTATTTCTCAGAATTGCGACTTTATTTCTTGCAATTGCGACTTTATTTCTCCGAATTACGACTTTATATCTCGCAATTGCGACTATATTTCTCAGAATTGTGACTTTATTTCTCAGAATTGCGACTTAATTTCTCACAATTCTGATTTCATATCTCTCAATTGAGATAAAAAGTCGCAATTATTTTTATTTTTTCAGTGGCGGAAACAAGCTGCCATAGGGATCTGTTATATTATTAGATGTATTTATATATTTTCATCCCTGTATTCAATTGAACTCACTCAACTAAGAAAGTATCCATTGCAACACACTATAAATCTCTTTAATGTTAGTATTGTGTTTTATTTGTAACCAACCATGACAAGCATGTATAATTGTCTATAGAGCGAAAGAGTCAGTTTCCGAGAAGCAACGAAACGATACAATTTGAACGATAACTTATAAATTTCTAAATACAGAAATACTGTGAACTACGAGTTTGTTAATCGATGGCATTTGCTTTTGTTGAAGCCATCAGCCCAAACTATTTCAGCTTATTTTTAACAGTGGAATTCCTGGTGAAAAACTCCATTGCCCATGATGCTGTGCAGAAAATGACACCAATCAGAAGAGTCGTAAAAAACAACACGCTCTAAAAGAGCTCTTTAGCTCCGCCCACTCCGAAAGCACTGCGAATTACTTAATCGAGTCGATCTCTCTCTCTCTCTATATATATATATTTACATATATATATATACACACACACACACACACATTTATAAATTAGTAGTTTTATATTTGTCCATCGCTTTTAATTCAATTTTGCTGTTCTCAAAGCTTCATGGAATTGTAGTTCTTTCCCTCACACAGTCTTGTATCTTTGTCTTTTCAAAATTTATTTTGCTTCAAAGTGTTGCAATTCACCTCAGAGCTGATTGGCTTGATTTACGGCTTATAACTCTTTAATGAAGAGGGTTTTTTTATTCCTATTGGAAAAATGATTGTAAAAACGACTTCTAGAACCAGTGCAGCACTTTTTTTTCCTATTAGAGAGGACAGAAAGACTGGTAATGTCACTTACCCATAACCAGCCAGAAAGCCCAGACTGGGCGGACTGACTTGGTCACTGAAGATGAAGATCTCCAGACCAGACCAAGATTCAGATTTTTTTAACGGGCCTCGCTCTGTCTGAGTCACGATCCACCACTCCTGAACGCTCTCCGAGCTGCTTAGGTTGGCCTTGTGTAAAGAGAGCATGATGTTCATGTATACTCCACCTAAGGGATCACATGATAGAGTGAAGAGAAATAGACATGTTGATGGCTGTAGAAAAGCATATCAATATAGCAAAGGTGTAGATAATGGCCTTCTGTACTTTCGGGGTAAAGCTGTTCAATAGGCTTGGCATTGGAGTCGCTTGGTGCTCTGATGAATCTTGGAAAAATATTTTTGATGAGCCTTGAAAAAAAAAAACATTCAAATTTACCATTCAGCCAAGAGAGAGAGAGAAAAAAAAGAAAATATACAGACTGTGATTGTTCCATATTCGCATTGAGATGCTTAAACTCACACTGGAGTTTCTTTGTGCTCAGGTTTGTTGACATCACTTAGTAGACTCCTTAGTTGTGTTCTGGTTTCTGGATCCAGATTTATTTGGTGTTTTCCTATTGCTGTTTCAGCTTTGGCACCTAAACTGAGGTTCCTAATGGACAAATACAGCAATACACAACTGAAATGAATCGACTGAAAACATATGCATTATATGCAGAACGGATTCTCATCAGGGTTATTATCGTTAAATAAAACTTTTTTTTTTTAAAAACTGCTGAAAAAAAAAAAATCACTAATCCACGTTGGCAGATTTGAGATCATTTTAGATGTAACCTGCACATGTTGCTGAGAGATTTACCCATCAGGCACTAGCAGAGCAGTGATGTTGAACTCTACCTCTGTATGGACCAGGTCATGATGAGAGGGAATGTCTCTCCATTGAGCATTTCGATGAGGTGCTTCTTGCTCGGGGGGCTGATGGTCCAGAGCGCGTTTGAACTTCCTTCTAATTGAGCTATTCTCAAATCCTCGTGAGTATAAGACTCCAGGAACATCATGGCGTTCTGCAGGAGACAGTTTATCAGCACAGTTTATCAGCAGCAGGCAATATTAGCTTTTTGTCACAATGCAAAATAAAACAAATACTTATAGTATGGTTTCATTTCATCCATGCAAAATATCATTTCTTATTTGTATGTTGATTATGCAGTGAAATGTGAATTATTATTATAATGGGCCTCAACAATCAGAAATCATTTTTGTATATCGGGTGCATCACAAAAATGTTCATGTCATAAAAATACAAAGGAGCCACTGTGATTTGTTAACAGAAACAGAGTTCCTTACTGCATTAGTTTTGTAGCTCTTCATGAACGCTTCAAATTCTGAGAGAGTCAAATTTTTAATATCGTTCTGCTGGGCGCTCATTGTGAAGATCGGCTGGAAAACAGAACGCAAAAGTGGAAAAAAGAAAGCCATGTTGGTTATCAAATGATAAGCAACCTACTGTAAGATCTGAACAAGAAAACACATATCCGAGATCAAATGGAGACTTTTACACGAGTAAAACCAAAACTATTTGGCATTAAAATTATCTTTAAAATTATAAATTGTCTTGCTGACTAACTGAGATGTGTATGTTTAAAAAAAAGTAGTAAAATCACAAAAACAGAAAAAATAATTTCAATAACCAATTAAACTTTCAGACTACTCCACAATGAAAAAATAAAATATTATCATGTTATTATTATGTTATAAATAATAACAATAAAGAACATTAAATTAAATAGAAACAAAGCAAACACCACAGAAAAATATATATTATAATTACTAAAAATTAAAACAATAAATTTACACTAAAACTAAAAACTTACACTAAAACCAACAATACATTATAACCATAAATTATATAAAAATAATAATTATTATATAAAAATAAATTAAAGATAAATAGAAAATAAAAATTACTAAAACTTAAGCTAAAATTTAAATGAGAACTGAAAACATCAAAAAAAAAAATCTAAGCTTAATCCAAATATTAATAAATAGTATATGAATATAAACACAAACATTTCTCATTAAATGATCTGAGATTCTTTCCATTTATTCTATACTGGATGAAAACTATGGCATCTGAAACAATACAATGTTTGTCTGTTTTTACGGGATGTAGAAACAGAAATGGGCATGCTTGAGCGTAAGGTGCACCTGAAGTCCTCCGAGCGTGAGTGTGACGGACACGTCCAGTGGAGCGTTGACCACTCCTGCCACAGATTTGACCAGAGACATGAAGAGCAGCGGGAACCAAACGATGCAGATCAGAAGCATCACGATCATGCCCCCCATCCCATACTTCACAACCTTCTTCTTCTTCTGCCCGCGAGGCTGAGGGTTTCGCTAAAACATAAAAACAAAATTGGTGAGGGTTGTTTTTTTAACTACATACCTGTACACATACACTCACCTAAAGGATTATTAGGAACACCACACTAATACTGTGTTTGACCCCCTGTCGTGGCATTGATTCAACAAGGTGCTGAAAGCATTCTTTAGAAAAGTTGGCCCATATTGATAGGATAGCATCTTGCAGTTGATGGAGATTTGTGGGATGAAGCTGCCGTTCCACCACATCCCAAAGATGCTCTATTGGGTTGAGATCTGGTGACTGTGGCGGCCATTTTAGTACAGTCAACTCATTGACATGTTCAAGAAACCAATTTGAAATGATTCCAACTTTGTGACATGGTGCATTATCCTGCTGGAAGTAGCCATCAGAGGATGGGGACATGGTGGCCATAAAGGGATGGACATGGTCAGAAACAATGCTCAGGTAGGCCGTGGCATTTAAACGATGGCCAATTGGCACTAAGGGGCCTAAAGTGTGCCAAGAAAACATCCCCCACACCATTACACCACCACCACCAGCCTGCACAGTGGTAACAAGGCATGATGGATCCATGTTCTCATTCTGTTTACGCCAAATTCTGACCCTACCATCTGAATGAGACTCATCAGACCAGGCAACATTTCTCCAGTCTTCGACTGTCCAATTTTGGTGAGCTCTTGCCACTTGTAGCCTCTTTTTCCTATTTGTAGTGGAGATGAGTGGTACCCGGTGGGGTCTTCTGCTGTTGTAGCCCATCCGCCTCAAGGTTGTGCGTGTTGTGGCTTCACAAATGCTTTGCTGCATACCTCGGTTGTAACGAGTGGTTATTTCAGTCAAAGTTGCTCTTCTATCAGCTTGAATCAGTCGGCCCATTCTCCTCTGACCTCTCGCATCAACAAGGCATTTTCTCCCACAGGACTGCCGCATACTGGATGCTTTTCCCTTTTCACACCATTCTTTGTAAACCCTAGAAATGGTTGTGCATGAAAATCCCAGTAACTGAGCAGATTGTGAAATACTCAGACACCAACAATCATCCCACGCTCAAAAGTGCTTAAATCACCTTTCTTTCCCATTCTGACATTCAGTTTGGAGTTCAGGAGATTGTCATGACCAGGACCACACCCCTAAATGCATTGAAGCAACTGCCATGTGATTGGTTGATTAGATAATTGCATTAATGAGAAATTGAACAGGTGTTCCTAATAATCCTTTCGGTGAGTGTATATTCAAACGTGAATACCAATAAAATAGGTTTTTGATACTGTTTGTGATGTTTAAATGTCGTTTGAGTAACTTGACGTATATTTCTAAACAGAAGTGATGAAATGAATGGATTTTGGACTGAGCAGGTTTGTTGAAAGAATAAGTAAATGATATATAATCTCTCTTACCTTCTCCGATTCCCTCCAGCATTTGAGGATGAAGATGTGTGCGTAGATGTCCTCCACACAGATCCAGCTGGACAAACTGAGCGTTGTGTCCGTCCACACCCAGTCCATCACGGCTCGCAACTCCGTCAAGAACGGGATCAGGCGAAACCTTGAACGTACAACACTTACTAAGCAGGTGTATCCATTATGCATAGAGGCCGACTGGTTTTCTTTAAAACATGAGACGTTGATAATTTAAGAGTATCGGCTAAGAGCCAAGTATCGGCTGATATATCAACCTTGGCAATTAATTGTAAGTAACACATAGTCCACATAAATATAAACATAAATGACATACGACATCACCCATGGACTGCCGTTAATGTTTCTCACCCCTGGAAGAGGAAGAGGTTGAGGTAGTTGTAGCTCTTGGTAAGGAAGTTTCCCAGTATGCGAGTCGGATATCCACATCGGATCTGATACGCTGACAGGCCGAAGTAAATGCATTTCACGAAGTACCACAACTGAGCGATAGTGTTCTGACTGAAACGCCTGCAGAGACGATGAAACATGTATGAGGACACTGACAGCATTTCTGGCAGAACTCGCAAACTTTCAATTCAAGAGTGTGAATTGGCCAGGAAGTTAAAATCAATCAATCAATCAATCCATCTATTGTATCCATCGTCCAACAAACAATCTATTGTATCTATCCATCCATCCAACTATTGTATCCATCTATTGTATCCACATTAATCCATCTATTGTATCCATCCATCCATCCATCTATCCATCCAACTATTGTATCCATTTATTTTATCCACATTAATCCATCTATTGTATCCATCCATCCATCTATCCATCCATCCATCCATCCAACAATCTATTGTATCCATCCATCCATCCATCCATCTATCCATCCATCTATCCATCCATCTATCCATCTATCCATCCATCCATCCATCCAACAATCTATTGTATCCATCCATCCATCCATCCATCCATCTATCCATCCATCCATCCATCCATCCATCCAACAATCTATTGTATCCATCCATCCATCCATCCATCTATCCATCCATCTATCCATCCATCTATCTATCCATCCATCCATCCATCCATCCAACAATCTATTGTATCCATCCATCCATCCACCCACCCATCTATCTATCTATTGTATCCATCCATCTATAGTATCCATCCATCCATCCATCTATTGTATCCATCCATCCATCCATCCATCTATTGTATCCATCCATCCACCCACCCACCCATCCAGCTATTGTCTCCATCCATCCATCCATCTATTGTATCCATCCATCATCCATATTGTATCCATCCATCCATCCATCTATTGTATCCATCCATCCATCATCCATATTGTATCCATCCATCCATCCATCCATCTATTGTATTCATCCATCCATCATCCATATTGTATCCATCCATCCATCCATCCATCCATCCATCCATCCATCCATCCATCTATAGTGTCCATCCATCCATCCATCTATAGTGTCCATCCATCCATCCATCATCGATATTGTATCCATCCATCCATCCATCCATCCATCCATCCATCCATTGTATCCATCCATCCATCCATCCATCCATCCATCCATCCATCCATCCATCCATCCATCGTATCCATCCATCCATCTATTGAATCCATCCATCCATCCATCAATCTCTTTACTAATATATTTTATTTGAATTTAAACTGGAATCATAGTATCCCTTTACCTGTCTGTGATTCCTGGTAGGATAAAAAACATCCAGAAATGGATGCCGAACACCAGGAGGACCTGGAAAACCACTTTTCCCATCACAGTCTTGCGGAGGTACAGAGCGCGATCCACCACCATCGTGCCGAACTGGATGAGAACCATGACGAGGAACGGCCCGGGAACTTGGTCCTCCGACAGCGAGGACGTGATATCAGCTCCTCCCTGATGTTTCTGTGAGCCAGAGAAAACACACAACGTCACGTCAACAAGAAGAACTGAGGATTGGTTATTTTAAGTTAGAACTTTATCTGAAACTCGTATCTAATTCATACATAGGCAAACTGCATCAATAATTACATTTTTTCAAAAAATGTTTGCCCTCAATACTATTTTTCCAATTTCTATTTAATAACAATTTACCCCAAATGCCCAGAAGCCAAAGACAATAATGATGAAATCAACGGTGTCTGCTAGAAACATGAAGACGTAAACATCCGTCACGGCGTTGTACTCGGGATGGATCAAATTGTAGAAGAACTGACGGATGGGCTGATAGAACGCAACCAATCTGAAGAAAGAAGAGAAACAGAGACTGAAAATATAGACTAATAAAATATATTACAAATATGAAAGAGTGCACATCAATCAGCCAAAACCATCAGCATGAAATGGCATTTTACTCTCATAATCTGAAAAATCTAGACCAGCATTTCATTTTTAATGAAATTCCCCTTGGAAATTGATTGGATTGTTTAAGTGTAGGGCCCTATGAAATATATTTCAATTTTTATCTAAATTCCATTTTATTTTTTACACAAATTCCGTTTTGTTTTCTGGATTCCATATTAATGGTTTAATTAAATGTAGATAACCCAAAAGCGTGTCTAATGAATCAATTGCATTGATAAAACTATAACAATTTAATAATTGATGAAATTTTAACCAAAATAGTGCCCTATGAAATCCGTTTACATTTTTCAGAAATTCAGTATTGTCTGGTTTGGTAATCAAATAAATGCATAAAACCATTAATATTTTAGAATTAATTGTGTATGAAGTATGAAGAAAGGAACAGAAAGTAAAAGTTGCTTCAGAGGTGGAGAAAATCAGGTCCATCAGAATTATTTTCACACACACACACACACTCACTTTTTGATCAGGTAAACCTTTGCTTTGATGAGCTGCTCTCGGATTTTCTCCATAATCATTTCTTTCCGGCTCTTCTGCGGTACTTCTGGCTCACTGTTTTCTCTGCGAAAGCTCCGTGTGCTCGTGCTGCCTGTGAATCAAACCAGTACCAAACGTCACCACAATTAAACCCCAGAACAAACAGAAAGATCGCATTATCTAACAAAATAGCCTGTAATTTTCACTGGTCTGTTCAAAAAAATGACCGTGACCAACCAGATTCATGAGTAGATGGCCATTACTGATTACAAATTATTTGACTTTTCGATTAATTTTAACCATCCCATACATTTTAACAGGACTCTTGTGTACCATATTGATAGCATTTTTTATAATTAAGTCATAAAAATGTAAAATATTTTTAAGTAACCACTGGTGTTCCTCAGGGTTCTATCGTGGGCCCTCTTCTATTCATTATTAATGTAGGTACAAAAACAATTTTGACAGAAAAATCGAATTGCTTTTCTGTGAATATTTAAAAAAAAATACAATTTTTCCTTGTTAAGAATCTGGTTGTCGACCTCGGAGGCACTGTTTTCTTCAAAGCTCATGTTAATAACATCACAACATGTACTGCATACTTGCATCTACGTAATAATAATCATCCTAGTCTGTCTTTCTCACACAATGAATAGCACTGCAATTCTTATTCATGCACTGGTTACCCATATTGATTTCTGTAACGCTCTCCTCACTGGTCTTCTTTATATATCTATAACATTTAGCAGATGCTTTTATCCAAAGTGACTTACAAATGAGGAGAGCAATAGAAGCAGTTCAACTAACATGACAATAAGTGCTATAACCCTTCCAAATTTAGTCTAACGCAGTTAATATATATATATATATATATATATATATATGATCTGTGATCAAAGCTGAATTTACAGCATCATTACTCCAGTCTTCAGAGTCATATGAAATTACAGAAACAACTATTACAGAAATTATTATAATATGATTCTAAAGAAACATTTATGATTATTATCCATGTTGAAAACAGTTTTTTACATTTTTTTTTTCAGGATTCTTTACTGAATAGAAAGTTCAAAAGAACAGAATTGATCTGAAATGGAAAGCTTTTGTAACATTAATCACTATACCATTCAAAAGTTTGGGGTCAGTAAGAATTTATTTTTTATTTTTGGGGGAAAGAAATTAGAAAATACTTTTATTCATCAAGGATGAGTTGAATTGATCAAAAGTTACAGTAAAGACATTTATAATGTTAGAAAAGATTATATTTTAAATAAATGCTGTTCTTTTGAACTTTCTATTCATAGAATTTTGGGGAGGGAAATGGTACACGGCTGTTTTCAACATTGAAAATAACAATTTATGTTTTTTGAGCATAAAATCAGCATATTAGAATGATTTCTGAAGGATCATGTGACACTGAAAACTGATGTGTAATCAGCAACAGTAATGATGTTGAAAATTCAGCTTTCAAATTACATTTTAAAATATATTAAAACAGAAAACAGTCATTTTAAATTGTCATAATATTTCACAATATTACTGTTTTTTCATCAAATAAAGCAGCCTTGGTGAGCAGAAGAGACTTCATTTAAAAAACATAAAAAAATCTTACTGATCTAAAACTTTTGACCGGTAGTGTATATATAATAGAAGATTAGAGAAAACAAAGTGTTGCTGAAAAAGATTGAGTCGGGCAGATCATTCCCCAAGTCTCTTTAAAAAGTGAGGTGATTTCTGTAAGTCTCACCGCGTTTGGAGCGCACAGAGGAGAGTCGGGACGAGTGCGCTCTGCCGCTGGTGCTCTGCCGCCGCAGATAAGGCCGATGCTCGGGATAACGCATCTGCACGAGCACCTGGGACGAGTCCATGGACATGCCGAGGTTCACGGTCTTCAACGTGTACGCTGGTGAACTCTTCTTCTCTTCTTCAGCTGGAATCACGACCGCCATCTTCTCCTCCTCCACAGACTCGTCCCGATGAAGACACGGATCTTTTTGGGACATTTTAGGGTCGTCTTCATCCCAGAGACCATGACACTGAGACAAAGAGAGAGAGAGAAAGTAGGTACACTAAATGATATTGACTGGAAGCCATTGTGATGGTCTTTGGTTAGGAAAACAAACTGGAAATTGAAATTAGTGCTTCATCTGAGACCCATTTATTGCCTATATAATCAAAGTTGTAAAGTAAATAAAAGATGCTTTCCACAAATGGGATAAAAATTCATCTACCGTTTCTTTAAACAATAACAGTAGAAATCCCATACTAAAATCTCTTCTAGATTGAAGTTGAAAACTAGTTGAAAGTTTGGACATACTTGACTTAATTAGTTTTTCTCATGATCTTAAACTTTGTGAACCGCCTTCAAGTAACCTGTATTCTACAGGGTTGCGAAAATAATTGCAAACCTCCTCTAAAAAAGGTTTGTGTTATTTAAAATGCTTATAACATTTAGTTTGACCAGCTGAGAAGTGTACACGCTCAATTTTCTGAAGGCGAAGCAGCTTCTCTTTTTGGGTTGCATTTGAAAAAAATCATGCATATATTCGCACAAAACGCTTTTAGAATTTAATAAATGAATTAAAAACAAATGCATACCGGAAAAATACATAATTATAAAATGTTTAATATTCCCCTCTCCAGGTTCCAGATTTGTATTTTTGCAGGCACCGTTTTTTAGTTTACCCAAGTGAAAAGTGCAAAGTCATGCTGAAGCTTCGATTTTATGAAATAATCTGAAACCTGGAGAGGAGAGGAACTTCAAACATTAAGAATTGATTTTAAAATCCATTTTATGGTTCAAAGCTCTCAACAGTCTAGTGGCTTCGTTTTGATCTCATAATGTCTGGTGAATTATGTTTCCAGCTGTACCTTGGCACCAAGCTGCTAAATATCTCAGAGCTAAAGCAGAAAACAGGCCAAGCAAGCGTTATTTATTCCCAACATGACTTCGGACTATGGTGTGCAGATCTTAAACATTAAAAAAATATGCAAACTTCCACCATGATCTGTCTAAATTCTCGATTATGATTAGCTGGATGGTGTGCAATGAAAATATTCAATGCACAGGTAGTTCTGGTCAGATTAATCACTGATTTTATTAATAAACAAGCTTGACTAGTGAATATCTACATTATATCTCTCAATGAGGGAGTTACATACCAGTGTTTGAAACTCGCTGCTTGGTTGTTAACCCTAAAACCGTATCCTGGACAAATGTGGGCAAAATAGTTTTGATTTATTTTAAAAAAAAAATACTTCCCTTAATCCGAGCGGTAGGCTACTTTTCCTAAATTTGCCTCCTGAACACACACATTTTTTTTTTTGACTCAATTCTACAATATTAAGTGGGTGAAAAAACCCCTCATTAATCTTGTATTTGGGTCAAAAATGAGCACCCATAGAAATGAATGGGAAAAACTGTAATTTAGAGCACTCTAAAATAAGACACCAGGTGACAGCAAAGTCACTTCATCTTTAGGTTTTAGCTCTAAGACCTTATTGGAAGGATATTTTAATGTAGTTAAAAAAAATAAAACTACGTAGTAATTAATTTACATAGAAAATATGGTACTTTTTGAAGTAAATAAATTCAAAAATAACCCCAAAATAAAAAAAAACACCATAAATGGATAGACAAAACTTTATCGAAGACAGTGATATGACATTAAGAATAAATAAAAATTACGATCACACCTGAGTCCTCTGTGCCGCACAGACGCAGGTAATTCACACACGCATCTCTCTGTCTCTGTATCTCGATAATAAACTCAAATACATTCTATAATTCATTATTTTAAATGTAATCGTATGGACCGCTTTATCTCTCTGTTTGATTTAAAACGGGCAGAATGCTAGATCTGAAAAAAAAAACATCGTTTTTACTCTTTCTGTCAAATATTGCACTGTAATCATCAATAACAGCTTCAATTCGTCAATGCTGGAAAATGACCACGGTATAAGCAGGATAATCCTCCACTGAATGCTCTTTGCCTCCAATTTGTGCATTAAAATAGTTAGCAGTGGATTACCTCTGAGATGCATTAATATATGGCACTAATAAAATATACGGTAACACTTTAGTATGCACGTTTAACCGTGATTTTTGCCTCAATATACTCCTAATTTACTGTTTATTAATAGTTCGTAAGGTAGTTGTTGAGTTTAGGTATTTAGGAGGATTAAGGGATATGGAAAAGCATTAATATGTGCTGTATAAGTACTAATAAACAGACATTATTTTAGAAAATGCATGCTAATAAGCAACTTGTTCATAGTGAGAACTGAACCCTAAAATAAAGTGTTCCAAAATATACTTATTTAGGTTTTTAATTTGCATGCATTCTGTATTTATATTTGGATATTACGCCCAGTACACAAGAATAGATTTTTTTTTTTAATGCATGAAATGTGCTTTAATGACAAGGTTTATTAGTTCTACTGACTTTATCAAGTTTAGCATCACTACTATTAGATGGGAAATAAGAGAATGAACCTTTAGTATGGATCTGTGGAAAAACAGAATCAGCAGCTGCACCAGGTCATAGTGCACGTATCCTTCTTTCTTCTCTATACCGAGGATGTTGGGCGGATGGTACGGCTTCATCTGGTTGACTTCCACGTTCTGGTTGAATGGGAAAAAGCTGAACTGGAAGAAGTACTTGATGACGATGGTGACCTGGAGGAAATAAAAACATATTTACAAATGATTTAACATGAATAACAAAATTTTAACAGATGCTACTGGACTCCAAGCATATTGGCTAGATTAAACTAAAAGATACTGTATATATACATGTATAATTAGCAGCAGTGTTGTGCAAGTTACTTCCAAACTGTAATACATTAGGTATTACTTGTTACTGTTATTTAAAAGTAATTCATTACCTTACAATATTACTGTCTCAGAATTGTAATGCGTTACATTACTCATGTATTACTTTTGAGTTACTTTCACCAAAATAACTAAGTAGAACTTAACTTAACTGCAACGATATGCGATATGAAACCGAAATCGCGATTCGCCACACGACTCAGATCCACGAACCTACAGAATCGCGACACACCTCTTCCAACTCCAGCGTTATTCTCCTTACCGTCCAGATCCAATGCTGCCTTATCTTTAAATTAGTCTATTAGTATTATTTGAAGTTAACATTATAAAATACGTAGACCTACACCACAAAACTAGTTGAGGATAAATTATTTAAAATTGGGGAAGTCCAGCATTATGAACATCACATTTGCAGTCAAAACTTGAAATAAAAATTCTCAGAAAATACATGTATTGAAACGTATATAGGCTACTTCCTTAAAGGACTCCAGACATTAGACAAATATTAGTCTGTTTTATTTTTAATATTAGGGAAAAGACACACATTCATGCGTGACAAAAAAATAGGAGGCAAAATATATTTTTTGTAATTCTGTTAATTACACTGCGCAAATCGGATGAGGAAGGATTGGCTCTCCAGTCTCCATAGAACTTAAAATATTCATTTTATTTTAGTTTTTGTGTTCGCATTTATGAGGAAAAAACAATGTTACAGACACGACCGCTCTGAACTGGCACTAAAAGACTGCTTTAAAACTTTCACCTTTAAGAAGTAAAAGCAGACAATACACTGTAATACAACAACTGTAATACAAGCCTCACTGAACATGTAACGAGTAAAATATTACTGAAAATTGATTAGTAATGCCTTACACTACTGCGTTACAGCAAAAAGTAATATGTTATTGTAATCTATTACTTTTGTAATGCGTTACTCCCAACACTGATTAGCACATACTACATGTATAACAGAATTGGTGCCTACACAAGTCATTTCACCCAAAACAAACCCTGACCTCTGTGTAAACGATGGCCGTCATCCAGAAACGCTTGCTGGGCCGAGGAACAGAGAGCATCGCCCACAGGAAGATGAGGATGGGCAGCACCAGTGTCGCCATGGACGCCGAGATCATGTGGTTGAGGATAATGACCAGGTAACAGACCATCTCAGAGTGCGCCACCAGCAGGTTATAGAGAGCGTAGCACAGCTGCAGGCCGAGCGGCTGGGACTTATAGAAACCCTCCGACTTCTCCAGCTCCTCGTCGTAGAACATTCTGGATAACAGTGGGGACACAGATCACACATCAACGATTACCCTGATACCTACTGTGTATTAGTTTTGCTGGAGAATGGGAAAGTGCATACTTGAGTATGTACTGTAGCAGTGTTGCATACAGTATAAACTAAAACTATTTTAAAAAACGTTAATTGAAATAAAGCTAATAATAAAATATAGTTATGAAAATAACATATTGAATATTAGAATAACGATTAAGTATTTCAAAGATATATTATATAAGTATATACTTTACCTATACTATCTTTCTTATATATATATATATATATATATATATATACAGTATATATATATATATATATATATATATATACACACACACACACGCATATATAAGGCTGTCAAACGATTAATCGTGATTAATCGCATCCAAAATAAAAGTTTATGTTTACATAATATATATGGGTGCACTGTGTATAATTATTCTATATATATATAAATACAAACACATGCTTGTATATATTTAAGAAATTTTGGTATTGGATATTAACAAAATCATGTATTTACTGTATATAGATTTATATCTAATTTATATTATGTATAAATATAAATATTTTATATATAAATAATATTTTTTTCTTAAATATACATGCATGTGTGTGTGTTTATATATATAAAATAATTATACACAGTGCTCCCACATATATAATGGAAACACAAACTTTTATTTTGGATGCGATTAATCGTGATTAATCGTTTGACAGCCCTAATATACAACCTAAATCATTACTATATATATATAGTATACTATATTTCACTATCTAGTATACCTGTAAAAAGTAAATATACTAACTAAAACGAAACTAAAGCTCAAATAAAAATAAAATCACACTTGTCTGGAAATATTTATATAAAAAAAAAAAAAAAAAAAACCCTAATAAATATGACAAAAAGCACATAGCAAAATGACTACAAATAAAATGAAAACTGAAAAAATAATAATAATTGAAAATATCAATACATCTAAACTACTGTCACAATTCCTGTCTCGTTTCTCCTGTCTTGTGTTTAAAGACATTTTGGAAGTGTATTTTTGTTCTTGTTGTTCATTGCTGCCTTGTTTGTTTGTTTCCACAGTTATCAACTCATTACCCACACCTGTTCCTCGTTCCAACCCTTGTTATCGAGTGTATTTGACAGTCCCTCCAGGATTTCACGATTTTTTTTGGTGATTTTTGCGATCAAAATCACTGATTTTGTGGTGGTAATTTCCAAAAATTTGTGAAAAAAATTTGCGATTTATATATAACAAAGTTTTTTTGTGATTGTTGCGGGCAAAAATTGATTGATTAGCCTACTCGGCCCGTTTTCTTTAAAAATGCGATGGAATATGCGGGATATTTATGCAATTTTATGCGATGAAATTGCAGGAATTTGCAAAAATTGAGAGAACTTGCAAAAATTGCGGTTTGATGAAAAAGATTTCTCTTTTTCAGTGATTCCCCCAACATCCTGTTCTCACTAGGCTAATGTAAGAGTCATTTCTTATTACTTCCTTTGATAAACAAGCATACTACATCATAGAAAGTGCTGGGAATATTTAATTTCTCATCTTGTTTTATTTCAGACTATAACGAGTGTAAATAAGGTGTGGCCCCTTTAAGAGCTGCGCGCTCCCTGTTGAACTCTCTGCAGTGTTATATGTGCGCCTCAAACACCCCATGTGTGCGGGTAATTTCTGTTTGATGCTACTTCTTTTATCTTATGTTGTTTATTAAGTAACGATGTGACGGTAGAACGTGTGACAGACAGTTATACGAGTTCGATTTGTGATGTCAATCGCCTCCGTGAGTCTGTCCGGCGTCGCGTAATTGCGTCACTTCATAACGTTCCCATGGAAACAGAAATGGCTGCTCTTGTGTGAAGCAAACGGAACATTTTTTAACTTTCTACTAAAATACACGTGACTTTTTTTTTGCAACGAAAATGCGAGGATTATGAAATTATGCAAACCCTGCATATTTTGCAAGGAAATTGGCAATTTATGCGGCGAAAGTGCGGCGTATTTGAAAAAATGCGGCCCCCGCATAAATATGCGGACTTTGGCTGATTTTGCATTGAATTCAGCGATCGCATAATCGCGTTTTTCTGGAGGGACTGATTTGAGCCCTAGTGTTTCCTATGTGTGGTGTGGTCAGTTTTCCAGGATTTTTGCCTGGATTTACTTTTGTTGTGTTTTGTTGAATGTCTTTTAACTGCATTTGGATTCTCCCCTCCCTCGTTTCTGAATCAACCCACGTTACAAATAGTATACACTAAAATAGAAGTGAGATGTTATATCAGTATTGGGATTTTCGACCACATTTACGCCACTTCTTGATACAACAGACCCATTAAAATAAGCCGTCATGCAAAACGACTGACTTGTTGAGCAGCAGTTCGCTGGCGGTCAGATCGGTGGTCGTGGAGGGCAGCAGAGGGTCGTCCAGATCGGATCTGCTGTCGGGGGTCATCACCATCATGCGTCTATCGCTGTCGCTTTCGTCGCTCACAGAGAGGCGGTCGAAGCTCACGGCTTTGCTGTAGCTGGGCGGCACGTCCGCGTCTGAGGTGTTCGGCGCGTCTGTGTCTGGAGTGAAAAGATGCCCGCTGACCGGATCCGTTTGCATGTTCTCCGGTCCTGATGATTCACCTTCATCCTGATGGATAGACTCTTCACCCTCCTCATCATCAGTAACACACTGCTCTTCCTCTCGGTGCTCGTCACACTCAAGCTGAGGATCCTGAACGTCTTTCACTGCTTCTTCTGGATCTACCAAATCCCATTGGACTTCCTCTTCCCGCATCACTTCCTCCTGATCGCCTCCGTCGGGTTTGTCCTCACTGGTTCGGCGCTCCGACTCTGCTGTTTTCTTCTTGACCTCCAGCTGGTCTCGCTCGTCCTCAGCCTCGTCTATCGTGTCGTTGGTGCCTTGTCGAGAGAACAATGTTACGCACTGAGTCGCTTCACTGGAAAACACAAAACAAACAGGAAACGGTGTCATATTACAATCAGCGTATGAATTGTGGGACATTTTCAGAAGACGTTTTGACGAGTTACATTTCCTGTAGTGCTGTATTATGAAAAAATACACAGATAGATTGACTTAAACATTTACTTTGTCTTCCCAAAATGCATATTTACCACTGAAATATATGGATTTCATACATTTTTAGAAGTTAATATCTCTGTAACTTCCTAAACTGATAAGTAGAACCAATTATTTGACTGTATACCTTAATAATGTTATTCTACAATAAAATAAATGTGCATGTAATTTTTATATGCATTATGGAGAAAGATTTATTATTTTGATAATATTTATATTAGAGCGGTCAAAAGATTAATCGCATCCAAAATAAAAGTTTGTGTTTACATAATAAATGTGGGTGCACTGTGTATAATTATTTTGTATATATATAAATACACACACATGCTTCTATATATTAAAAAAATATTTTCATGTATATACAGTAAATAGATTTAAAAATAATTTATATTATATATAAAAATAAATATTTTATATATAAAAATATTTTTTTTTCTTAAATATACATGCATGTGTGTGTATTTTTATGTATATAAAATAATTATACACAGTGCACCCACATATATTATGTAAACACAAACATTTATTTTGGGTGCGATTAATCGCTTGACAGCCCTAATTTATATATGAAGAGTTCAGATGCAAAAGCCTCTAAATGCCATTTGAAATTTTCTTCTTTAATGATGATTTTTATCAAACTTGTATATTTAAGTTCAGTAATTTCACTTTAATAACAATTAATAGGTAATCATCATTGCCATTTAAGAGAAATCACTGAACTTAAATATACAAGCTTGATAAAAATGATCATTCTAGAAGAAAATTTCAAATGGCACTTAGAGGCTTTTGCATCTGAACTTCTCATATATATATATATATATATATATATATATATATACACACACACACAATTTTTGTAATTATCATTATATTACTATTAGTTTAAAATAATAAAATGTTTATTAAAATGAATAAAAAAATAATTGATGACATACAAAATCAATACTATACTAATTAATATATTAATATAATACAAATTGTATTAGTAATATATATATAAATATTAGAACTGTCATTAGATTACATTTTTTAATTACGATTAATCGCAGACTTAACATGCAATAAAGCATACACCATTTATCTTCATAACACGTTCATTTTGTCATCATTTGCCATATCCAGCAAAGTTAACAGTCAGATTGAAGGGTGATTATTTTTATTCATTTTAACGTATTAAGGTATTAATCGCATGCATTACTGTCTTAACATTGGCAGCCCCAATATATGTCTATATAGTCAGCCAGAAATGTGTAAATATCAGTTAATATTTGAATTTATATTGCTTTATTGCTTCCATTAGCATGGCAAACCTGTTTACATTATAAATATGTAACCAAATAAAATAAATAATAAATAAAAAGAGTGTGGAGGATGAGGATGAATGTGATGAAGAGGATCATGAGCACCTGGAGATGACGCTGCTTCCGCTGTCCGCCGAGGAGTTGGACATGTCCAAGCCATACATTTTGCGCAGTTTGGGACGAGCGCGTTCGCTGGTTTTGGGAATGTCGTCTAAGTCGTCCAAGGTGGACTGGCGGGAAAACAGCATGGTGGCTTCGGTGTATGCGCTGATAGATGGACAGATGGACGGATGAGTGGAAATATAATGCAATGAAAAAGAAGAAATCATGAGGGGAAAAGGCTCCTGGTTATTAGATGTTGCTTTTGAGAAAAAAATTTAAACCTTGTCATGAAAATGTCACAATGCTAAAAATCTGGGGTGAGATACAACCTATATATTTTTAAAGTTATGTGATTTGTAAGACAAACAGAAGCTCAGATACTTTGATCTCCTGAGATATGAACGACACTAGTGTCTCCAGCCCCACATATACAGTATATACAGTAGTATTACCTTAATTAAGTGTGTTCATTTCAATGGGGACTAAATAATACACTCTAGAATGAACAAGTAGAGTACAGCAGTCTATGATATTAGTCAATCAGCTCTGTGTGTTTGTGATTATTATATCATATACACTTTGGTCATTTAGCAGACGCTTTTATCCATGAGGACTAAACCAAAGTCATCGTGAAGAGGCATATACAGTGGTGTGAATAAGTTTTGGCACCCATGCTAAAGTTGCCTAAAAAGAGGAATAAAAAATCATCTTTTGGATATTGATCTTAATGCCTTAATTAGAAAAATGAGGAAAACTCCAACCTTTAAGGACACCAATTTTCTTTGTGAATGAATAAATGTATCATAAATAAATAAATCATTTTCCTTAAAATACAGGGTGCATAAGTCATTGCCCCCCTATGTTAAATTCCCATAGAGTCAGGCAGATTTTTATTTTTAAAAGCCAGTTATTTCATGGATCCAGGATAATATGCATCCTGATAAAGTTCCCTTGGCCTTTGGGATTAAAATAGACCCACATCATCACACACCTTCCACCACACCTAGAGATTGGCATGGGGATCATCTTTCAATGCAAATCAAACCAGCTATTAGGCTAACTGAAGTAAAACCATGCCAATCTCTAGGTGTGCTGGAAGGTGTGTGATGATGTGGGGATATTTTAATCCCAAAGGCCAAGGGAACTTTATCAGGATGCATATTATCCTGGATCCATGAAATAACTGGCTTTTAAAAATAAAAATCTGCCTGACTCTATGGGAATTTAACATAGGGGTGCCCTGACTTATGCACCCTGTATTTTAAGGAAAAACATTTATTTATTTATGATGCATTATTCATTCACACAAAATTGGTGTCCTTAAAGGTTGGAGTTTTCCTCATTTTTCTAATTAAGGCATTAAGATCAATATCCAAAAGATGATGTTTTATTCCTCTTTTTAGGCAACTTTAGCATGGGTGCCAAAACTTATTCACACCACTGTACCTGAGACTCAAATTGTTGGCTGAAGGAGTGTAAAATGTAAAGAAAAGAGTTAAATAGAATAATCAAACCTACATTTAAAGAAAATCAAGCTTTTAATGTTGCAGATTTAAATGACAGATATCTGAATTACAGATTCAACCTAAAATGATAAAGTCGAGGATGAGTACCTGGAGAGGCTGTCTCTGGAGGCGAATCCAGACTGGAGGGAATCCAGACTGTGTCCGCCCCGTCTGCGGCGAGCTCTGATCGAGCCCGAATCCTCCTCACTGATCCGGTCCAGGCCAGATTCACGAGATCCATTGAGTTTCATCTGCTTCTGGTAATACACATGGATGCTCTCACGGGACGGCACGTTACCCTGCAGGACAAGGAACACAGCGGGTCAGTTCTAGACCCACAGCAGCTAGACTTTTGGATTATTCTCAAATATATGTGCCGATTCCAAAAGGTACCAATGCATTTTAATCACAAATATTATACGGGTGAAACTCGAAAAAATGTAATATCGACCAAAAGTCCATTTCAGTAATTCAACGTAAAAGATGAAACTATATTATATAAACTCATTACATGCAAAGTGAGAAATTTCAAGTCGTTATTTGTTATAATTTTGATGACACCTCGAAGGGCATTAGCCCGCTTATACCACGGTCACTTGCCAAATAACACATTTTTAACCCTTATGCTGCATTAGGGACATTTTTGGTCTTTTGCAGTTTAATTTCTTTGACCATTTTGGCTGTTTTAATGCAAATGGTATGAAATTTGGCAAAATTGTGACTTTTTGGATACATGTAAAAAATGTGATCCCATTTTGCAAAATATGTATAACACACACTGTGTAGATCAAATAGTAACACTCAGCACCATAAAGACCAAAAATGGCCCATTGAAACCCATTAAAACGTTGTTTAAATCTAAAGCTGTCAGTAATACATGAAACATGATTTTTGCACAAACATCCTTTCATTTTGAAGCAAAAGCATTATATAGTGTATTCCACCAGATGACGTCACTACATATTTATTCCCTATGGGTGGAAATGCACCTTATTTTAGGCAATAGGCAATGTTTAATAGGTGGCCATTTTTGGTCTCTAACGCGCCAAGTGGGATTTTTTGCAAAGTGGGACCGTGATAATCCAAATCTAAAGTTTTTTTTTTCCTCTTATACAAATCGATGGTTTCGCAAACAAAACTGGTAATTAAAGGGTTAAAATCCCGAAATTGAATACATTTTTGGTAGTTATGATGAGGACTGATGCTGGTTAAAAGATTTAACTTGGTAAAAGTGGAAAATAATAATAATATATAATATTTTAGGCAATGTTTAATATGTGGCCATTTTTGGTCCTTAATGCACTCAACGGTGTTAAAACTCTAATGCAGCACAATGGTTAAAACATTAGTTTATATTTTAACTACTTTTACAATCGAACTCTTAAGTTTTTACAAACAATAACTTGGTTTCCCTGGTTACGCCTGACGGTTTATTTAACAACCGGAGATATTTATAGTCCGCTCGGCTCGTAGAGGAACACTCCAGTTTAGCTAACTCACGAGCCAGAAAGTTAACGTATTTTAGGTCAAATTCTCTAAAAAGGTTCAAATAAATAAAGAAGTTGCGCATTGGGGCCTGTTCACATATCGCGTCTTTTGCACGCTCAAGTTCGTTATTTGAAATGTAGGCGCGCAAACTATGATTTCGGACATACTACTCTGCTCGCGTACTGTTTTTCGCATACTATATATTAGGGAAGTATTCGATTTCGGACGCAGCTTAGGTATCCTCTATCACTTTTTAGCCAATCAGAATGGAGCATTCACCCAGACCATGGTATAAAACAGTTTAATGCACAGCTAGCTGTATACATAAGCATCTGTAGAGAACCTTTTTGACTTCTCTGGTCAGCATGCAGCGCTCGATGCGCAGGACGGTGGAGATGTCGATGTATTCCCTGCAGACGGAGTTCAGCCACTTGGTGATGCTCTCGATGGTGGTCAGAAACAACACCCACGTGAACTTGATGATGTTGAAAACCCTCTTGATGATGTTGTCTACAGGAAGTGGAACGTGACATTTAGGTTTTTCTGAAGTTTACATCAAACGTTAAACGAACGTGTGCCATGACATGAACACACCTGGTCCGTCCGATTTCTCTTCCTCTGAACTCTGACGTTCTTCTTCCCCGACCTCTATCGCCACATGAACTACACACAAGACGTTGCATTGAGACCAACTTTACAATTATGGATACAAATTTTCAGATGTTAAAGAGCGCTGTACCTTCTTTCTTGTCTTTCCTGTGTCTGCGCTTCCAGAAATAACGCCTCTCTTTGACTCGTTGCTTCAGGACTGCTTTCGAGTCAGTGATCCAGGTATGATACACAAACTACAATAGAAATTCATCCATTTATGAAGTGTTGAATAAAGTGTCGCACAAGGACATAAACACACAAACATGTCAGCCATTTCAGGAAACCAGTTGAAATTTAACCCATGATTCAAGTTTCAATGCAATGCATGTGTTATTTTGATCATGAATGTGTATTTTATCCCCTGAAAAGGCTGAATTTGACAAGCACATCCACTCACTGCACGGTTTCCATCCGAATATTCCAGATCTTTGAAAAACCACTTCCATTTTTGAATTGTATATACATGGATATTGATGAGTATGTACACTGTAGACAATGCTGGGTTGGTTGAACCCAAATTTGGGTAAAATATGGACAAATGTTGGGTTAAAAAATTAATTTCAAATTTTGACCCAACTTTAACTTTCACTTTCAACTGTACATTTTTTAATTGCATTTTTAACCCAACATTTGGGTTTGTCCATTGACCCAAATTTGGGTTGAAACAACCCAGCATTTTAATTACAGATTAAATGGAGTTGTTTGAATCCAGGTTGCACAAGAAAATGGAAAATTCAAAGACAGAAACTGTTTTTTGCTCCATTAATATCAGAATGATTCACGATCAGTGTGAACGCCATTTCTTAAATGCAATGGAGCAAATCCCAGCATTTACAAGCAACAACATTAAATGATAACATTTTAAAATAAGGTTCCATTTGTTAAATACATTAGTAAGCATTTATTACATTAAGCATTTACTAATACGTTATTATAATCAAAGTTGTATCTGTTAACGGGATAGTTCACTCTGAAATTAATTTTTGATATGTTTTATCTTAACTCAAGGGCATCCAAGATGTAGGTGTCTTTGTTTCCGCAGTATTTTCAATTTTGATATTTTTAGGTCAAACCGTTCTTGTCTGTCAGTCATATAATGGAGGTCTATGGTCACCACCTCAAAGAGCATGCACAGAGAAGTCAAAATTAAACATGATTTAATGACTCGTAAATGTAAGTACACATTGATGGCCTAAGACACGAAACGAGCGGTTTGTGTAAGAAAACGAACAGTATTTATATCGTTTTTACCTCTTGTAATCACAGCCACGTCCAAGTGATCTGAGGCGCTTTGTGGCTGTGGTTACAAGAGGTAAAAACGATATAAATACTGTTCGTTTTCTCACACAAACCGCTCGTTTCGTGTCTTAGGCCATCAATGTGTACTTACATTTACGAGTCATTAAATCATGTTTAATCTGGACTTCTCTGTGCATGCTCTTTGAGGTGGTGACCATAGACCTTCATTATATGACTGACAGAAAAGAACGGTTTGACCTAAAATTATCAAAATCAAAACACCTACATCTTGGATGCCCTTGAGGTAAGCTAAAACATACCAAAAATTAATTTCAAAGTGAACTATCCCTTTAATACGACATATGAACAGTTGCATTTTTACTACTGTTAACAACGATTCATAAATAATACCGTACCAAATGCATTGCTCATCAACTAATGGGACCTCATTGTAAAGTGTTACCAATGAAATTATTAAAAATAAACCCAAAACACACAACATTCACATTGAACAACACCTCTAAATCATTTCCATTCCATGCATCCTTGAAGGATATTTACAATCTCATTATATCTACAAATATCATAGCTGGAACAACATGGAATGGAAATCTTACAATAAAACACCATCAGCAAACACAGATAAACACAGATGAGCCGTTCCCCGCGGTGGTACCTTGGCCGCTCGGATTAAATACTTCAGAACAGTTTTGGGCAGTTTAATGACTGATCTGGGTAAAGCCACGAGGGCTGAAGCAAACTTTCTGATCGCTCGCTGAGAGGAGAAAGAACCAGGAGAAAGTCACAGCATCAGTGTCCTGAAACCCTTCAAACAGTTACAACACTAAAACACAGATCAACAATTAATACAAAAGGTTTGTAACTAAAAAAAATGGAGGAGCTGAAGCAACAGATGCTCTGGAAAATTTGACGTAATTTTGACGTATTTTAATGATATGACACAGTGCCAGCTTCCAACGTGACCGGGACTAAGTTTGTGTAGTCATTACGCAGGAATCACAGTATAGTTCCTAGCCATTTCAGCCTAGAAAATCGCAACTTTACATTTTCCATCGGTCTTAGTGCACGATGTAAGAGTCACGTTTTAAATAGGAAAAATATCAAAACACTGGTCGTTTTTTTGGGTTTTTTTTTTTTTTTTTTTTGAGAAATGCTAATGGTCTTGTCCACTTTAATGATGTATGCTAAGCTATGCTAAAAGTGGTACCGCCAGAACGCTGGTATGATTCGCCGGAGATCGATTCAAAAATGGTAAAACTCAACAGTTTAACTCTGGGGGAGTTGTAAAATTAGCCTATTTCCAAAAAAAGTGGAGTATCCCTTTAAGATCTCATTGATTTACATAAGTATAAGCTCTATATTCTCATATATAAGCCATAAAAAGCCTGATATGACACTCAGAAAACACATGATTTATTTTATATTTTGTATAAAGGTTCAATAAACCGTAGCAAAAAATATTTATATTTTTTTGACTATTACTTCAAATGTCAGGCTTTACCACGTTGAAATTAAAGTTTCTTAAATTTACACAAAAAGATGTGCAGTTTGGTTCACTCACCTGAAAGGCTGATCTCTTGGGTGGTTCTTCATCTTTTTTCTCGTCTTCTTCCTCTTCCTCTTCACTGTCAGTTTCAAATAGGTAATAATCACCACTTCTAACCACTGAGAGATGAACGGAGGAGAGCGTTTAGCCAAAGCAATCATAAAATTAGCAAATCATAAAATCACACACACACATATATGAAGAGTTCAGATGCAAAAGCCTCTAACTACCATTTGAAATTTTCTTCAAGAATGTTAATTTTTATCAAGCTTGTATATTTAAGTTCAGTAATTTCACTTAAATGGCAATGAAGATTACCTATGAATTGCCATTTAAGTGAAATTACTGCATTTAAATATACAAGCTTGATAAAAAATGATTATTCTAGAAGAGAATTTCAAATGGCACTTAGAGGCTTTTGCATCTGAACTCTTCATATATATATGGTAACACTTTATAATGAGTATACAGTAATACACAAAATCAAGGTTGAAAATGTTGCACCCAGAAAATACTATTAAATCTCCTGATTAAACTTACCTGAATCTCTACATCTGAAAACCGTACTAAACTTTATTTATCATGCATAACAGAACATGAACATTTGTAAAGCAGCAGCAAAACAAAAACCATAAAACTGTAGAAGATTAAATCTTGCATATCCCATTGTATATACATTTTAATAAAACAGCTATTACCAATACAATTAATCCATAAAGTGGAGAGAGAAAAATCTCTAGTTGGGTGAGTCAGTCATCTAACACCTCGGAAACACAGCTGTGTGTGTCTGCAGTTTCACAGATGCATAGGAAAACAGTAATTGGAATAAGGAAACTGCCTTGTGTCCTTGAACAGAAGAGCCACAATGGAGAGGGAGGGCAGGGGAGGATGCTGGGAAAACTTTATTTAAAATATTGGCCATATATAAATCTCTAAAACAAGATATATTTTCTATAGTGATTAGAGGGTCTCTCATTAAAAAAAAAAATGGTATAACGGTAATGCCATGGCTTTTTGGACAGGATCATGATAGTAATACTATGGTAGTGTTTGCAGTAAATTGAAATGCATGTAAATACCATAGTATGTGAATATGGCAACCATATTCAATCATGTACCATGGCATGACCGTCTGATACCATGACTGTAACATTGTGCCTTAATGCGTTTACCTTAATAACAATCAACTTTCTAATCACTATAAAACAAATATTAACATTAATGTTTACAGTGAAATCGCATCTCCTGTGCTTCAGTATCACGCTGATAACGGAGATCAGCACATCAACGAAGACAAAGTAAATACCATCTCACGGGTATTTATTTTGCTTTTTGATGGGTTTCAAGAGGATATAAAGAGAGTGACCATAAACCAAAGTTAGTTGTTCACCTGAAAATGAAAACTTACTAACACTTCTGTCGCTCAAAAGCTCACCAGATTTTTTTTCTCCATAGAAATAAAAAGATGATGCACAAGCTTTTGAACATACAATGAATGAAAGATGATTTGCCAACATTTTTAGCTGACTAAATTAGTTTTTGCTTAATTTGAGGCAAAGTAATCAAAATGTCCACAAACTACATTTAGCTTTGTTTTTTGCTGGTATATTCTGACATATTCTGGTAAGATATTTTTTTTTAATGAATTATGCACACCAAGGATGAATTATTTGATGATGAATACAGTAAACAAACAAAAAAACAGTAATATTGTGAAATAGTTACAATTTAAAAATAGAAAATAAAGTTCGTTGGGACTAACTTTTATATTGCCTTGTCTGAAAGTTTTCCTAGCATGTTTTATGTTGTTAGCATGATATGTCTAGAATTATTTGACATAAAGATTGCTAACATGAATTAACATGTTGCAAGCATTCGTTTTAACAGATTGCAGATTTGGCAAATTGTTAGCATGAATTAGCATGTTGCTAGCATGTTTTTTAAAATGTTGCTAACACGAATTAGCATGTTGTTAACATTTTTAGCATTTTGCTACCATGAATTAGCACCCCAGATAGCAAAGTGACATTGAATCAACGTAGAAACGACATTTCTCATGACATCTGACATTGTTTTGCTCATCGAATTAGCGCTGAACCAACGTCAGACGCGCCATTATTCAAAACTAACGGAAAATCGAAGCAGTTAGTTGCTTTCCTAACGTTGAAACGATGTTGATTTCAAGTTGATTTTCCGTTAGTTTTGAAGAATGGCGCGTCTGATGTTGGTTCAACGTTAATTCGATGAGCAAAACAATGTCAGATCAACGTTGTTTCAATGTCATGTTTCACGTTGATTCAATGTCAGTTTGCTGTCTGGGACGTATGTTTTAACCACCCACTTATAAAACATTGTGCCTATAGTGTCTGTGGCCGCGTCACCCGTTAGTTTCGTAAGAGCATTTTTGAAGCCCAAAGTGGGCGGATAACCGAAAATGGTCAAAGGGGTGGATTAGCTGAGGTGACGTTACGTAACTTAGTAGTGACAGCAGCGGCAATCCACCTGTCACTGTAAAGCTGGGAATATTAACATGGAGATATATGCACTGTAAAAAAATATTGTTGGTTTAACTTAAAAAAGTAAGTAACCTGGTTGCCTTAAAATTTTAAGTTCATTGAACTGGAAAAAGTGAGTTAATACAATGAAGGAGATTTATTTAACCATCAGAAACTCAAAAATATATGTTATTTGAACTAAATAAATTATTTAAGTTGATTTGACAAAAGAAAAAATGTTGTGATTACTACACTGTAAAAAATATTGTTGGTTTAACTTAAAAAAGTAAGTAACCTGGGTTGCCTTAAAATTTTAAGTTGATTGAACTGGAAAAAGTAAGTTAATACAACTAATTAGATTAATTTAACCATCGGAAACTCAAAATAATAAGTTATCTCAACTAAATAAATTATTATAAAGTTGATTTGACAAAAGAAAGTATTTTGTGATAACAAATCTTGAAAATATTTTTTGCAGTGTGGGATTGTTTTGGATCCTATCTCTAGTGGCTAGTCGATGAATTGCAGTTTAAGTCACTTCAGTGTTGGATTCAAGAGAGAGATTGGAGAGCATAACACATTACTAGCATTAATTAGCATGTTGCTAACATGTCCTAAGCTAATTGCTAGGCTTTGTTAGTTGTATATATATATATATATATATATACATAAATGTTTCATTGTACAGAAAAGAGCATGTGACATAGCTCCTTAAAGTAGTCCATGGAGGAAAAAAACAAGGGTGAAAAGATGACGACTGATTTTCATTTATGGGTGAAATATTCTTGTAACATCAAGACGGCTCACATTGATCTAAGTGTGAGATGATAAGGAAAGATGTCTCTCTTTTCCACAACAGAGTTTCTGATGGATTTGAACAAAGCAAAGTGATTCTCTACTGTACGGCTCCATTGACCAGCTCACAGTCACATAACAACAAGCCAGAACCATCCAGACGTTCAACTTTTCCTTCAGCCGCTGTGTAGATCTATTTAAGGCATCGAATGGATGTCATTAATTAACTTCATCTTCATATATCCTTAAACACTATTTTGTAAGCATTTCATGAAGAAATTAAAGTGGTCGTATCATGCACAACTTACAGTCAAACCAACAAATATGATCTGTGATATTGTTTTACTAGTGGGTGCAGGACACTATAGTTCATTTATAATGAAATAAAATAAACTGTGACATATTATACCCCAAAAATTTGACCTGACAATGTTTTGCTTCAGTGTTTTTTCTTTAATTGTTAATGTGACCTTTTTACTCACAGACTGAACAACATTAAGCATTGCTTGGTAATTTAAAGACCTAAATTGGTATTATCTAATTGTGTAGTTAAATTTAACAGCTGACAGATATTCAACAATAAAAGGATGGACAAAACCTGTGAAATATAAACTATAAACTGTATAAATTTAAACTGATTTGATAACTCTAAGTCATATTTTATTACCATTTTCTAAACTATAGCTAATAAACTGTGATAATGTGAGAAATGTTGCTAAATTGTGTCAAAATTTTGGTTTGACTGTATATCATATATCATATCATTCCTTTTGATACGACCTCTTATATATCTATCTATCTATCTATATATATATATATATATATATATATAGACCATTTCACAAGATGTAAACAACACTGGTCCAGAAGCACTTCCTGTTTCAGTTTTTTAACACTACATAAAAGCTGGGATAAAATACAACCAACAGAACATTTAAAACTGAATCAAAAAGTTAAACAAACATGTGAAATAAAGAAAACAGTTAAAAAATAAAACAGGAAGTGTTTCTGGACCAGTGTTGTTTACATCTTGTGAAATGGTCTATATATATATATATATTATATATCTTATATATATTATATATCCTCTTATATATATATATATATATATATATATATATCTGTAACAATCAAAACCAGTTTCAGAGCCTTAAATAGATGTGGAAAAGTCAAAGGTCTGGAGGGTGTGTTTGTTGTGTTCGAGGTCTGCCAGAGCCCCAGTGCAGTATGGGAATCCTCTGACTTCTGGTCAAGGACACAAGGAGGATCAGAGGAAGGTATGAGGAACCTACTGGACGCATGATCAACCCAAGGCCTCCACCACTGCTTTTTTTGCACCTTGTTTTTCTTTCTCTCTGCAAATGAAATGTCAGAGCATTAATGAAAGCACGTCAGAAGTGACGGTGAAATTGGAAATTAAACCTTTTCCTTGTTGCTTTATGGAAAACGTGAATAATTAAATACATACACAACACTTGTATAAGAATGCTAACTTGTTTTCTAAGTTTCTAAGTAATACGGTTTTATCTGATTTTATCCGAATTACACTCTCATGCTGATATGATCTGCATCATACCATCATCATCATCCTCATCGTTGTTTTCGTCGGGTGGGATGAGTTTCGGCTCGTCTCCGGACACCTGAGCAAGGCTGAGCATCTTCTCCTTCCCTCGCTTGAACTTCTGCTGACGCGTCTTAATACGATCCATCCTAGATTAATGCATTCATAGAGGCGACACTCTTAATAATACAATCAAATAACACATGTACATTGTTGTAATACTGTTCAAAACTTTTGGGATAGCTAAAATCTTTTTGAAAGAAGTCTTATGCTCACCAAGGCTGCATTTATTTGATCAAAAATACAGTAAAAACAGTAATATTGTGAAATATTATTACTATTTCAAATAACTGTTTTCTATGTGAATGTATTGTAAAATGTCATTTATTCCTGTTTCTCACTGTCTCTTAAGTTGCTCCATGGATCTCTTCTCCTCCTCCAGACGAGCTCTCACGGCCTTCACGATGCTGGCCTGGAACAACTCGGCTCCTCTGACAGACAGACACATGACAACACTCAACTATATGTATTTATATTCACACTTATTACTAGCGTTGGGTATCGTTTGAATATTTCGTAGAGTTGGTTATCGTTTGAATATTCGTAGGGTATCGTAGCGTTGGGTATCGTTTGAATATTCGCAGTAGTGTATTGTAGAGTTTGGTATCGTTTGAATATTCGTAGGGTATCGTAGAATTTGGTATAGTTTGAATATTCGTAGGGTATCGTAGCGTTGGGTATCGTTTGAATATTCGCAGTAGTGTATTGTAGAGTTTGGTATCGTTTGAATATTCGTAGGGTATCGTAGAGTTTGTTATCGTTTGAATATTCGTAGGGTATCGTAGAGTTTGGTATCGTTTGAATATTCGTAGGGTATCGTAGAGTTTGGTATCGTTTGAATATTCGTAGGTATCGTAGAATTTGGTATAGTTTGAATATTCGTAGGGTATCGTAGCGTTGGGTATCGTTTGAATATTCGCAGTAGTGTATTGTAGAGTTTGGTATCGTTTGAATATTCGTAGGGTATCGTAGAGTTTGGTATCGTTTGAATATTCGTAGGGTATCGTAGAGTTTGGTATCGTTTGAATATTCGTAGGGTATCGTAGAGTTTGGTATCGTTTGAATATTCGTAGGGTATCGTAGAGTTTGGTATAGTTTGAATATTCGTAGGGTATCGTAGCGTTGGGTATCGTTTGAATATTCGCAGTAGTGTATTGTAGAGTTTGGTATCGTTTGAATATTCGTAGGGTATCGTAGAGTTTGATATCGTTTGAATATTCGTAGGGTATCGTAGAGTTTGGTATCGTTTGAATATTCGTAGGGTATCGTAGAGTTTGTTATCGTTTGAATATTCGTAGGGTATCGTAGCGTTGGGTATCGTTTGAATATTCGCAGTAGTGTATTGTAGAGTTTGGTATCGTTTGAATATTCGTAGGGTATCGTAGAGTTTGGTATCGTTTGAATATTCGTAGGGTATCGTAGAGTTTGTTATCGTTTGAATATTCGTAGGGTATCGTAGAATTTGGTATAGTTTGAATATTCGTAGGGTATCGTAGAGTTTGATATCGTTTGAATATTCGTAGGTATCGTAGCGTTGGGTATCGTTTGAATATTCGCAGTAGTGTATTGTAGAGTTTGGTATCGTTTGAATATTCGTAGGGTATCGTAGAGTTTGGTATCGTTTGAATATTCGTACGGTATCGTAGAGTTGGAATCGTTTGAATATTCGTAGGGTATCGTAGAGTTTGGTATCGTTTCAATATTCATAAGGTAACGTAGAGTGGTATATCATTTAAATATTCTTAAGGTATCGTAGAGTTTGGTATCGTTTGAATATTCGTAGGGTATCGTAGAGTTTGATATCGTTTGAATATTCGTAGGGTATCGTAGAGTTTGGTATCGTTTGAATATTCGTAGGGTATCGTAGAGTTTGGTATCGTTTGAATATTCGTAGGGTATCGTAGAATTTGGTATAGTTTGAATATTCGTAGGGTATCGTAGCGTTGGGTATCGTTTGAATATTCGCAGTAGTGTATTGTAGAGTTTGGTATCGTTTGAATATTCGTAGGGTATCGTAGAGTTTGGTATCGTTTGAATATTCGTAGGGTATCGTAGAGTTTGGTATCGTTTGAATATTCGTAGGGTATCGTAGAGTTTGTTATCGTTTGAATATTCGTAGGGTATCGTAGCGTTGGGTATCGTTTGAATATTCGCAGTAGTGTATTGTAGAGTTTGGTATCGTTTGAATATTCGTAGGGTATCGTAGAGTTTGGTATCGTTTGAATATTCGTAGGGTATCGTAGAGTTTGATATCGTTTGAATATTCGTAGGGTATCGTAGAATTTGGTATAGTTTGAATATTCGTAGGGTATCGTAGAGTTTGATATCGTTTGAATATTCGTAGGGTATCGTAGCGTTGGGTATCGTTTGAATATTCGCAGTAGTGTATTGTAGAGTTTGGTATCGTTTGAATATTCGTAGGGTATCGTAGAGTTTGGTATCGTTTGAATATTCGTACGGTATCGTAGAGTTGGGTATCGTTTGAATATTCGTAGGGTATCGTAGAGTTTGGTATCGTTTGAATATTCGTACGGTAACGTAGAGTTGGATATCATTTAAATATTCTTAAGGTATCGTAGAGTTTGGTATCGTTTGAATATTCGTACGGTAACGTAGAGTTGGATATCATTTAAATATTCTTAAGGTATCGTAGAGTTTGGTATCGTTTGAATATTCGTAAGGTATCGTAGAGTTGGGAATCGTTTGAATATTCGTAGGGTATCGTAGAGTTTGGTATCGTTTGAATATTCGTACGGTATCGTAGCATTGGGAATCGTTTGAATATTCGTAGGGTATCGTTGAGTTTGGTATCGTTTGAATAGTCGTAGAGTTGGATATCGTTTAAATATTCGAAAGCTATCGAAAAGTATAACAAAATATAATATTTTCAGGACTTTCAGGTCAAATTCAAGCACTTTAAGCACCTTGTACGAACCCAGTCTAAAGTATCCAGATAGAAATTTATTGCCCATTTTCAATGGAAAAGTGCCCAAGCAACAATCGCTCGGCAAGATTGCCCAGCAACATTGCTCAAAGAGTTGCCCTGTGTTTCATCACCTTTAAAGACTGACTGTGTTTGCGAGGATATTTTTACATATTTTGTGCAAAAGTGTCTATTCAATGCAAAAAGACACGGCACAGAGAACAGTGCGCTGGACTTCTTGAGCTTGAATGGATTAACATATTAAAATGCACACAAAGGAATCGATAAGAGGAATCGGAATTTTGAAAATCTGCTTATTATAATATACTACAAGGGTTACATTAATGTAACAACTGCAGATATAAGAATAAATCTCAAGCAAAAATGTCAATGCTAACAAATCTGCATCAAATGTCATACCGAGATGCGAGGATCTGTCCGGCGCGGATGTCTGCGACCACATGGAGGAAGTAGTAGCTCATGAAGACACGTCTCTGCAGCAGGAGGAACGTAAAGCAGATGCTGTCCCAGATAATCCCGGCCTCATCCTTCGGGAGCACACACTGATTTGTAGTCGTAGTTGAAGAAGGGCCTGAAGACACACAAAAAACATATAAAGGCATTAGAGCAGTGTTTCTAAAACCTTGATCCTGGAGGCACACCAACAGTGCACATTTTGGAAGTATCTCTTATCCGAGCCATCCATGTCTGAAATCGCGCCCTAATAGGGCTCAACAGCTAGAGAATACCCACAATGCACTGTGAGAGTCGCGAGTCGAATTAATTCTCACGTCTGACCAGAAGATGGCGCAGCTTAATCAGCCCATTTTATAAACTGCTGGTCCAATGTGGCTACAGCGTAATATCATACAGGTATAATAAAGGTTTATACATAGCCTACTAGTCTCCGAGACAGAGGTCAAGATAAATCTTTTCATTACTACAGGAGCTGCCAGTTTGCTAAATTTCAGATAGCTGCTAAAAAGCAAGCGCAAAATATGCAAGAGGCAGCCATTCTGGCACACTCAGTGTCCGAATTCACTCACTCGTATCATTCATTCCTTCAAGTAATGTAGGGAATAATGAATGAGGGGATAGGGGGCGATAACGAGCACAGCTTTGGAGTCTCTTATAATGAACTGACGAGTTAAATCAGGTGTTTTTGATTAGGAAGATTTCGAAAATGTGCATTAAGCTGAGCAAACAAGCATAAAAATATGCTGGACACAAATATTGGATAAAATATTCCAACTTAATATCATTACTTTCTATATCGAAAAATATTTGTAATCAACAGTTTGTGGAAACCACATTCTCTCGTTACTGCAATGCATTCTGGGAGTGAAGGATATATGCTAACACTTTACAACAAAAACGTTTGTTGCCATTAGTTAATGCATTGACTAATTTTAACAATGAGAAACACATTTGTTAAAATAGTTGTTAGTTCATGTCAGCTCAGGTTAATATTAATAATATTAACAGTTGAAACTTTGGATTTTAATAATGTATTGGTAAATGTTTAAATTAACATTGACTAAATTTAATAAATGCTTACAAAGCATTTTTCATCGTTAGTTCATGCTATCTTTGAAGGCACACAACCCACTATCGCAATTATGATACCTTAAAATAATGCCTTTGTAGGCAGCTCACCATGTGTGATTAATTAATGTAGCAAAGGTTAGATCCAAACAGTTTGTCCAACTTCAACCCACACAATTGCTCCTGTTGTTCCTTACCTTGTAGATCTTTGTATTCTTTTATGGTGCAAGCAAGACTGAGCAGCTGAATTAACCAGCAGTTGTTCTTTATCAAAGTGTTGATATAACCACACGCCAAAATCTGTGAAAAAATACACCAGAAAAATGCACAAAAAATCCATTTAATTAGCAAAACTTCAATTTCAATTTCACTACAACTCTATTCATTTCGTGATTCACTTATTTTCTCTGTTTGTGCAGTTAATAGCCCCTCAAAATATTAAAATATTTATAAGAAATAAAACGTCACTGTTACACTTAATTTTTGACTGATGTTCATGTTAAAAAAAAAGCAAAATTTAAATTCTTTAAATAATAATAAAGTTAATAAAAAATGATATATTATATAAATAAATGATTAAATACACAATTAATAAAATATAACTTTGAACATTTGTTTGTGATCATTTATAGCATTATTTTTGGATTGTTCAAAATAATTTCATTTTCAGGGTTACGTTTGAGATGGGGATTCCTTTTCGTAAACTGGTTCTTTCGGACAGTTTCAATGAACTGATTCACTAGTACTCACGCAATGACGTCATGTTGTGAAATGGGGATGTTTTACATGTCTAAATAAACTAGCACATTCAATGGAGTCTAGCAACCCTAGTATTTACTGCACTATGGATGAAAACAAATATCAGATTGCACTCACAGCAAAGACGTTCTTCATTGTGATGACGAACACATTGTAAGCGATGAGGAAGTCCCAGTAACGGAGGATCTTCTTGATTGGCTTGAGTAAGAGATCGCCGCCGAACAGCAGGAAGTAGAAGCACGCCACCAGATAACCCATGCAGAAGATGCTGATCCGAGTCGTGCCCGTGATGAAGATGATGGTCAGGACGAACCAGAACAGGTAGCTAAACATGATCACCTTCAGCATGTCCAGGTACGACCTGGCAGAATTACAGCAGAGTAATGTTTAAATGACGTTTGTCTGGCTATCATCTGAGATTAGTGCATCTAATAACATGCCAAAGGTGCTCAGACAGGACAGTACACTGCAAATCTGCATGCATTCTGGGGTATTATGTATATGCATTATGAAAGGGTGTAGAATAATAATTTGAAAGGGCACCAGAGCCATTTATAAACATTTATAAATGTCTGCATTTTAAACTAGCAGAGGAGAAAAATGAACAACAAAAAAATGTAACTGATACTAAAAACATTGTTTCATATGACAATTACGAAAGATCAAATAGGAAAAAAAAGAACTAAAATGTCACTGTTACACTTCATTTTTGACTGATGTTCATGTTCAAAAAAAAAGCACAAAAAATAAATAAATAAATAAATTCTTTAAATAATAATAAAGTTGAATTATAAAATTAATTATAAAAAATATATAAAAAATAAATTTGATTAAAATCAAATATTAAACTATTAAATAGACAGAAAATATATAAATAAAGAATTTGATTTATATAAATAAATAAAACTGTGATTAAACATAATTTAATTAATTAAATATAATGACTCCTAATCATTCATTTTTCTACATTATGCTTGAAAATAAGCATATTTATGTTTGAAAATAAAACCAATTATGGTTGAAAATAAAATAGAACTAAAATAAAAAAAAGTCAAACAAATAGTGATAATTTAATAAACTAGCAAAGTAGAAAGTATGATAATTATGAAAGATCAAATGGAATAATAATTAAAAAAAATTAAATAATAATAAAGTTAATAACAAATATATAAATAATATAATATATAATAAAATATTAAACTATTAAATAGACAGAAAATATATAAAAGATTAATATAAAGAAATACAAATGTGATTAAACAATTTAATTAATTAAAAATAATGACTCCCAATATATATGTAAATAACCATGTTTATGGTTGAAAATAAACCAATTATGGTTGAAAATAACCATATTTACGGTTGAAACACAAAAAAAAATAGTGATAATTTAATAAACTAGCAAAGTAGAAAGTATTTTAACAGCAAAAAAAAAAAAAAAACAGTTAAATTTTAAGTGCACTGTAGAAGTATGCAAACATAATTGCAGCCATCATTTATTTAAATGAGATGATGTCACAACCGGTTATGCTTCATTTCCTATATAATTTCAGACATCCTGGCCGGCGTAATTCTAATGAGCGGATCGATTCCCAGAGCAGTTCCTTCACATGTATATGGAAGCGACGCACACTAAAAGCTTGCACATGTCTTGTTATGCCACTCCAGAGGTTAAAGCACATCTCCTGTCTTTTCACAGTGTGTGTACACACACTGGACGTTGTGTTCAGCCACAGGCCTGTACTAAGAGCTCTGATGAAAAGCTGAGATGTTTTGATATGGACCTGCATTGATGGACCACAACAAGAAGATGCTTCCTCCACTTAAATCAATCACCTAGTAGAAAAAAGATCAGTCCATACTTAAAAGCTACTTATTGGGTTAGAGCGCAGACAGAGAGAGAGCGAGTGATGCTGCCTTATGGATTTTTCCTGCAATATGATCCATGGAAATTCTTGGAAAGTGAGAGAAAGAGGATCATGTAGAGTGAGTGACAGGCAAAGACCTCAATAAACTGCTATCTATCTATCTATCTATCTATCTATCTATCTATCTATCTATCTATCTATCTATCTATCTATCTATCTATCTATCTATCTATCTATCTATCTATCTATGTCTATCTGTCTATCTATCTATCTATCTATCTATCTATCTATCTATCTATCTATCTATCTATCTATCTATCTATCTATCTATCTATCTATCTATCTATCTGTCTGTCTGTCTGTCTGTCTG